CACGGACACCTTTCTAGGTGGGGCCTAACAGGGATGCAGTTCCCTGAGGCTTTCTCTTAATAGCTTTTCTCAAATCTCCATTCTCTCAATTTCTTTCTTTTTTTTTTTTTTTTTAACCACCAAACATGCTGGCTTTGACCAGTTACTGCTGTTCCTCTGTGTGAGACAGCCATGGGAGATGCAGATCGCAAACCCTTCCAATTAAGACACTGACCTGATGTCTTTTTATTTTTTTTTTTTAACTATATCCCAAGCAATTCAAGTAGTACCTATTATCACATATTCACAATCACACTTCAGACACGCATGTGTGGCTGTACCATACATAAAGAACATACCTCTTTCTGCTCTTTTTTTTTTTTTTTTTTTTTTTTTTTCTTCAGGCCAAGATTAGTTTGTTGAAATACAACATCCTTAATTGAAATTTCTTGTAAAGCTAACCCTTGAATTATGAGCATCCAAAATCTGAACAAATCCCTTAAATTCATCTATGTCACATTTTTTTCCTATGAGGTTGTAGAACAGTTTCTGACATGCTGCATTAATTTTTCCATAACTTGGCTGGGTGTTAGCCACAGCAGCAGCTCCTAAGGCTGCAGGCATCTAGGTCTCATCCTGCCTTTGCTCTCTAGGCCTGGGCTGGCCCCCTGCAGCTCATCTGTGACTGCAGCTGTTTGAAAAGTAAGCAACCACCATTGTAGCAACTCTGAGTTCTTGGCACCCACAGGTCCTGCTGACCTAATGCGCAAGCAGAGCTGTACTTTGCTTCCCCAAGCCCTGGTGCAGTTCTGAGACAGCTGCGATGGCGGCTTCTGAGAGGGGGAAAGTATCCTTACAAAACTTTCAAATTCTAAACATTTCTGTACTTGCTCCTGCTTTATTCCAGCTATCCTGACTACTAAAATATACCCAAGTAAATATACAATCATCTGACTAATATTTCCCTTTCTCATATCTCTAATTATATGCATTTTTACCCTCGAGGTTAACTAACTCACTTCTTTACCATCTGATATTTCTGTTTCACATCTACAATTATATACAGCTTTACTCCTGACGTTCACTCACCGCAGTTTACTTCACTTCTTTTTTCCAGCGCTCACTTCACCTTTGTGGTGTCTATTCTGTGGTGTCCATCACTTCTGTCCCCTGTACTCAATCCCATGTTTCAGAGCCGTATGTCAGTGCCATCTGTATGGCCTCACATTGCTGGGCCATACGCCATCCCTGTTCCCTGTTCTCAGCCCCAAGTTTGGGCGCCACATGTCAGGAATGGTCTTTACGGTGCTGCAATCACAGCCAGCCCAGCGGCCCCAAGTCCGTACCTGAATGGGGGAGTGTGGATGCTGGAAAGGCTAGCTATAGACAATAAAGAAAGACAGAGAGACAGAATAAAGGTCAGGAGGGCAGATCAGTAAATACTGAAATGCCAGGAGTTTATTTTTCACCATTCTTATATACCTTAACCAAAAAGGGGAACACAGTATCATGTATATGGAACAAACAGACTTTTCTTCCTCACTTATTCTAAGGGTTCAGTAACCACACCTTAGATTCAACTTCTTGTTCCCTAGCCTTGAGGTCAGGAGTAGCCACACCTCAGATTCAGGTTTGTTGTTATTTAGACTAAGACAGCCAAATATCCTACTGTAGCCACACCTTTGACCTTTAGGTCTTATGACTTGCTGACAGCCCTTATGCCAAGATGGAGTGCAGCCATTTTTATGGGCACCCACAGTAAAGAATGAATTCATTGGCCACTGTGCCACACCACCCTGTTCCCATGCTGCTAACTGGCAGATATCATGACCTCCCAATGTCACCTCCCAAGTCAGATATAGCAGGGTGTACTGTCCCCAGCTCACATCAATTTCAGGGCTGCACGGGGCAGAGGGGGGTGTCTGAGCTCAGGTTGAGTGGGGAAGAAAAGAGATGGGGTGAAGCAGGTTTGGGGTTGTGATGTCTGTACTGAGAAAGCCTTGGTAGAAAGGTGACTAAGTCCAATGCTGTGCTGTAACAGGAGCCCTCCCCTCAGCAGCCACAGGAGGCAGGAAGGTGGATGCCCAGCAGATGACAGCTGCCCACACCCTGCCCCGGTTACATAATGCTTCCTCACCTGGAGAGGCAGGGTGCCCAGTCTGACCCACCAGACATGGTAGTTTCCCTGGGTCACATACTGTTATTTTCTTGACACTGCTCCAGAGACTAGAGTCCAGGATAACCCCTGGGAAGGTGTGCAGTGGGGTTAGGAGGGGCTGCCCTGCCTGAGTTAACCTTGTCCTAGGATGTGCCTGTAGGTGTCTTTTGGGAAGTTTCTTAGCTCCATCTGTAAAAAGGTTTCCTCTTGATGTCACTTAACAGATGTTCTGCTCTTTGTATGGAAAGAGAGAGGCCATCGCTGACATGTTCGTGATGCCTGCTCTGTGCTGAAGGGAAAAGAGCATCATTAACTGTCTTATTGATGCCTGACATGCATAGAATGGAGGGCACCATTAGCTGGCAGATTGATCGCTAATGCCTGTCCTGTGCAAAGCATGGAAGGAATCATTCATTCATTGATTGGTGATGTCTCCCAGAGGTTGATTGATGATTGGTGAAGTCGGAATAGGAGTAAAGAGGCAGAATATACTATGGGGTTTTTTTTTGTTTGTTTGTTTTGTTTTTTTGTTTGTTTTTTGAGACAAGGTTTCTCTATATTACTTTGGAGGCTGTTCTGGAACTAGCTCTGTAGACCAGGCTGGTCTTGAACTCACAGAAATCCACCTGCCTCTGCCTCCTGGGCGCAGGGATTAAAGGTGTGCACCACCAATGCCCAGCTACAGAGTATAGTTTCTACTTACGATCCTCAGAAAAAGTGAACCCTGGCAGGGCAGCCCCTCCTGCCTCCAAATTCTGACAACAGTGATTCCATGATTTTCCTCTATTTTCCCATTTTAAAGCAGTCCAGAGCTTTCTGAAGATTAGAGGCACAGTTCTAAACAAGCACTCTGAGAAGGGTCTATGGTGGAGTCCCTTCCTGGCTTGAGAGATGAGTGTGTTCCACACCATGTCCCCAGTGTCCCCTCCAGCCAGCAGGAGAGATAAAGATGACCCCAGGAAAGTAGATGTGAAAAGAACGCATCAATAAAGAACAGCTTTAGCAGCTCAGTGAGAGCAGTAGGGACACACCTGCAATCCCAGCACTCAGAAGGTGTGGGCAAGAGGATCAATTCAGGGCCAGCCTTGGCCATGGTGTGTCAGAGAGCAGCCTGTGCTACAGAAGACCTTGTTACAAACAAAACACCTAGAAAAGATTAAAAGAACAAGTAGAGACTGGGTTACACCATGTGATATCATATTGGGGACTTTGAAGGCAGGGCTCAATGTGGGAGGCCAGAGCGGGAGGAGAAAGAGGGGACAGCATTGGAGGGAGTGTGAGAGGGTAGAGGACAATGGGGCCCTCGGTATGATAAGTCCAGAGTGTTCTCTGGTGTCTGAAGGCAGAATGGCACCATAACTGTAGCAAAGAAGACAGAGTGGGGAGAGGACTATGTGGACTGTCCCTGCTCCTGTAAGAACTGTCACTCCTATGTGTGGTAGTGAGTTATGTGTAGACAAGTGAAAGACAGGTGAAAGACCAAAAAGTGAAGTTAAATGAAGGATGGTCTGACCTGGAAAGCTAACCAATATCTGTTCCTTGGAATTTGCTAGCTTCCTCTCACCAGGCCCTGAGATGACAAGAATTCACACTGCCCCTCCTTTCTGCCCCTCCTTTCCTGTTAGTCAGCAGGTGGTAAATAGGGTCCTTAGGAAACAAAGAGCTGTAACTCTGGTTTGCCCAGACAAGATTAATTAGCACACCTGAGGCCCTAAGGTCTGCTGACCCTAATAGCAGACCATCCGGCCTCCAAGGGTCACGTACTCAATGGACCGAGGGTCCCACCCCCTCCCTAAGCTTGTGGGTTTGCCTTTAAAAACATCTGGGCTCAGGGGAGGGGGCTTCTCTCTAGCCTGGGTGCTGGAGGAGCCCGTTTGTGCAAACATTTCCTGTTCATTAAAGCCTCTTGCGTTTTGCAGCAACTGGACTGGACATTGAGTTCTTGGGGTATCGACTGAACCTGGAAGATTCCTCATTCTGAGGGTCTTACACTGGGAGTGCTACAGTCAGCTGGTGCCTTGTGGCAAGTCCCCCATGCACAGGGCTGGAACACAAGCTTGTCTCCATTCTGTGGGACAGAACTCGAAGTCAAGGCACAAGAAAGGCTGGCCCCACTGTGGCCACTTTGTAGGGATCCCAGCCCTGCCCACTCACAGTGACACGTGACGACAGCCAGTGTCCTTAGCCTGTAGACACATCATCCCATCTCTCCCTATGTGACCCTTCCCATGGCAGGCATCTGTATTTGGGTCTCTTAGTTTGTTTTTGGGTTTCTCTGTCACAGGCTGGCCTCGATCTGCCTGCCTCTGCCTCCTGAGTGCTGGGATTAAAATTGAGTGCCCCCAGTCAGTTGGGTGTCCAAGGAGCTACCCTAAACCATGCTCACTAAGGTCCCTGTGAAGATCTTGTTTCATAGGCACTCCCAAGGTTCTGGGAGTTCTGGGAGAAGGGCCTCAGTGCAGGGACAGGAAAGACACCGAGTAGCCCAGGCAGGCTTGAACTGGTTATGCATCCCAGGATAACACTCTTATTTTTAGGCATGTGTCTCAGTATGTAGGCTTAGCCAGCATGGAACCCAGAGACCCATCTGCCTCTGCTCAAAATGCAGGTCAATAGCAGGGCATGATTGTGCTTACTTGTCACCCCAGCCCTAGGCAAACAGGCAGGAGGATTTCTGGAGCTCACAGGCCACCCAGCCTAGCAAGCCTGTGAGCTCTTGTATCAATGGGAGACTGTCTTAAAACACTCGATGGATGGCAACAGAAGGCAATTAGTTGATGGCAGCCTCTAGGCCCCACACATGCACATGGGTACGCACGTGTGTACACATTGCATGTGCATTCCCACACCACAGAGGCTCTGCTGCAGAAAGAGAATTTATTTCCAGAATATTTTCATATTATAAAACCAACTATGACATGTGGGTGCACATACCCAGGGGTGGGCAGGGCAGAGCTGCAGGTGTTTTGAGGGCCTATCCCCTGTGGTGGGCACTGGGTCCTATCCCTGTGCACATCTGAGATGGGGCCTCCAGATGCCTGCCTGCAACTCTCTATCCTGGACCCTTTGGGCATTCTGGGGCACAGAACAGAGGTCAGGTGCCCAAGCAGTTTGGTGGGACACCAGCATAGGATGGGTATGCCTTGTGGAGAGGCCTGGAGACTGCAGTGACTTGGCAGCAGTGGATAACAGGAATAATGTTGAGTCCAATGTCATCAGGGGTGCTAGGGGGTCCTGGTGAGGACATAGCTGTCCCAAGAAGGCATAAGGGTAAGGGGAAGCAGGGTTCTTTCTAAGGCATAGATCTGTTCCTGGTTCTGCTCCCAGAATACCAGGGACCTCCAGTGCTGGCTAGCCTCTGTGGTGGGGTATGGTCTGCCATGCAGCTGAGCCTGTCTCTCTCTCCTCCCACAGGAGTGGGGGGCCTCTTGGAGCCAGAGGTCTGGATGGAGGTGGGGACAGCAGACTGCCACTGCCACTAGGGACGGGACAAGGAAGCTGCAGGATCCTGTCACCACAGGAGCACAGGGTGGACTGGATAGTAGAGCTAAGGAGGCAGTCACAACATTCATGCTTCTATCTCCGTCCACAATTCCTTTGGGGTCCAGCTGTGTCTCAGCAACACAAAAGACAGGAGCCTGGTGCTTAAGGCCACTCCCTGGACAGGCTGGGCTCCCTACCTGTGCAAACAGGTGGGAGCAGGACAGCCACACAGCCTGGCTCTGATAGGATGGCAGTGAGCGATGGCTATTGGGCAGTGTAGTGGTAATTTATTCCGCCAATAGTTTTGAAGTGCTGGCCTTAGGGAGTGGCTTTGGTGATGTGATCCCTTATAAGAAAGAGGAGGGGTTTCTCTGGCTCTCTTCGGTGGTTGTCAGGGACCTGAGAGCAGCATCCTGGGCCTCCAGGGCAGAAAACTGCAGTGGCTCTTTACCCTCATTGTGTGTGTTCCCAAAATAAATATGATACTCTTTTTTATCTAGGTGTTTGTCAGCTTCCTTACTTCACCCACTGGGCAGTGCTTGCTGAGGGCTCTAGCAAGAGATGAACAGGCCAAGGACTTCCTAGGACCCCAGGGAGATGCACAGGCTTCAGGACCAAGGGTGGTGGGCAGGAGTCAGAGCCACAGTATTGAGGCCAGCCAGATACCTAAGGCCACTGGCCTCCACTGGGATAGCTGGGAACAGTGGGGTACTCAGGTAGGCTATTCCCAGAGAAACTATTAAACTGGGCCTCCCTCGATGGGGGATTCTTCCAGGTACCAGTGTTCCATTCTGTCTGTGCCTTCTGGAAGCTTCCACCAGCCCCACGGTAGATCCTATGCACCTGAAGGGTCAGGGGACAAGAACAGAGAGCAGGAGGTCAGTACACTGACAGGAACAGAGACCCCCTGTGAACCCTCAGGTGACAGGCCCTGCTCCCTCACTGGGCCCTGGGTGCCCACAGCCCACAGGGACACCCAACCAACAGCTTCTCCAGGGCCGTGTGTGCCACCCCACTGTGACATCTCACTCTCACTAGTATGTGGCCTTTGACCATCTTTTCTAGGGACCCCGAGGAAGAAAGGGGTGATAATGCAGGGCATGGTAGTGTGTACCCCTCATCTCAGCACTCAAGAAGCTAAGGATCAGAAGTTTAAAGGTGGCCTGAGCTATATGAGATGAGAGTCTTTTAAGCCAGGCGTTTTTGGTGGTACGTGCCTTTAATCCCAGCACTTGGGAGGCAGAGGCAGGTGGATCTCTGTGAGTTCAAGTCCAGCCTGGTATACAGAGCTAGTGCCAGGACAGGCTCCAAAGCAACCCTGTCTCAAAAAACCAAAAAAAAAAAAAAAAAATCACAGCACACAGGAGGGCAGAAGCAGGCGATCTGAATTCCAGGCCAGCTTTGTCTACAAAGCTAGTTCCAGGATATGCTTCAAAGCTACACAGAGAAACCCTGTATTGAAAAAAAGTCAAACCAAAAATACTCAAACAAAAAACTGCCCTTTCTTAGGGTGGCTCTGGCACTGGGGGAGTATGACCCTGTTGACCCTGTGTGCCCAGACAAGGCTGGGTAGATAATATAAGGATAACATGTGGGCCTCCTGGATTATGTCTGTCAACACTGTCCTGAGAACCTCAGGGATCCTGTAGATAAGATGCAGGTTTATGGACTTGGGCTGCCCATTCCTAGTCACAAGTCAAATGGAAAAGGAGCTCTAGACTGGCAGGGCATTGGCCTGGCACTTGCAAGGTTCTGGGTTTATTCTCTATGAAACAAAAAAGGTTTTTAAAAAGGTTTCTGTTGTTCCCCCAGGCAGCTCTGACCCCTACACAGCCATCTCTGGGTTGCATCTAGGCAGAGGTGCCCACAGAGCACTGTGGTGTCTAGGGTACCGCTCCACCAGGAGGGCTTCTGAGCCTATACTGCTAGTGCCAATGACACTTGTGACACTCAGTCCTTGCCCTCCTCCAGGATCTAAGCTCATGTGTCCTCCCCAAACCCTGTGAGTTCCCAGATAAATCATAGCCTGCAGCTGAAGATATGGGGTGTTCTCTGTGACTGATGTGAGAAAAACACATTTTAGAATGGAGAAAATGACGGGAGAACTCACCTTCACAAGTGTGATGGCCATCATGACAGCAGACAAGGAAAACAAGATGGCTGGGATCAGCATGACCACGGCGGCCCCAACACTGACCCCAAAGAATCTAACAGCTGCCAGCCAGCCACTACAGCATGAAAGGGGAGACAAGGAGTAAAAAGGGCTTAGGGGCTTGGCATACCATAGAAGTGCCTGCCTGCTGTCCTCCATATGCAAAGAACTCTGACAAATCAACAGGGAATTAGGCCTGATCTCCTTTATATACAGAGCTCCAATAGATCATCAAGAAAAAGAACTTTAAAGGAGCCAGGCTCAGTTAAAGACCAAAAGGTGACTGATCAACACAAAATGATGGTTACAACAAACTTAATGATTTAACAGGTTTCAGTTCACGAAACATCCCGAACCAAAAACAAAACTACCCACACTTCAAAGAAAGTATTAAAGGAAAGCCTTGCTGCCTCCTATAGGTCTTTAGAGCATCTATCGTTCTCCACACTATTTTCAAATGAACTAAAATTCAAGAGACTAAGTGCGGCTTGGCGGGACACACTAGGACCCTCAGTAGCCCATCCATCCTGAGAATACCATGTGCCAGTCTGAGTCAGGCACTAGTGGTATGACTGGGTGACGGGGTGGGTGAGAGCCCAGTCAAAAGTTATAGACTCCAGCTGCCAGGGAGGAGGTCAGAGGGCATGTTTCACTAGAAGCAGAGGTAAGAGGATGCCTGGGGACATTATATGGACTTTGACTAGAACATACAAAAGAAATGGAGGCCCACACTACATCAACTGGGCAGGCCTCGGGCTCACATGGATAAACATGGAGGGCCTCGGCATATACCTTGTGATTGTATAGCTTGGTGTTCTTATGGGTCAGGGGGTGTGGCTCTGATTATGTTGCCTGGGCTTGGGAACCTTGTCTTCCTACTGAGTTGCCTTGTCCAGCTGTGACATGAGGGTTCGAGCCTAGTCTTTTTCGTTTGTTTGTTTTGGGGGCTTTATGGGGGGAAGGTTTGAGACAGGTTCATAACAGGCCTGGCTGTCCTGGAACTCAATTGGTAGACCAGGCTGGCCTTAAACTCTGCCTCCCAAATGCTGGAATTAAAGGTGTGTGCTCATGTGCTACAGCCACCCGGCTGTTTCTGCCTAGTCTTATTAGTTGCTATCCCAGGGAGGCCTGTTCTTTCTTCTTGAAGGGAAATGGAGGAGGAATGAGTGGATCTGTAGGGGAAGGAGGTCTGGGGAATGGAGGGTGGAGAATCTTTGTTCAGGGTGTAATGTATTAGAGGAAGAAAGAAATGGAGGACCTAGACATAGGAACAGGTCTGTTCAAGGCAGGCTTAGGCAGCAAGGCAGGACTCTGCTTCAAGATGAAACCTAATATGGTGGCAGTGGCAGCACAACTCAGCTCAGCAGTGCCCTCTGCTGGTTGCTTACAGCAAGGCTTTCATCTGTCCCCACAGTGAAGAACTGTGCCAGCCTTGTACCAAGCTGGTGGACTCTAATACACAGGCATAGGGAGGCACACAAGCCTGCCTCAGTTGCTTACCATGCTCCCCAGCCGGAGAAGCCAATGGCTTGGATGACTGTCAGGACGAACTGTGCCCCAAAGATGAAGAAGAATGCCATGAAGTTAAAGGAGCTGTCAGCCCTGCAAGGTACACAGTGAGTGGGGAGGGTGGGTGTCAAGATTCCCTTATCCTTGATGGACTTATTGACCGAAGTGACCAAGCACCCCCCTCCACTGAGCACTCAGCCTGGGCATTGACCACACAGGGTACCACTGCCCCTGAGAATCGTGGGGAGACTTGAAGTCCCAGTGTCATGGAGTTGATGAAGCCCAGACATCCAAAGGGCAAAGGGCAAACCATCAGGCTGCTTCTGGGAGTGTGAGGTGGGATGCCCCTGCTCTGGCCCCTTGCCCCTACATTGGGCCCTCTTAGCCCTACTCAGGTCCCCTCGCCCCTCTGCTCTGGTGGCATGAATGAGCAAGCATCAATCGTCAGTATGGAGCCCTCCTGGCCTACCCTACCCTCAGTCTAGCTCAGGCACACTTGCACAAGAAGGGATGAGCCAGCTAAGGACACAGACAACTGAAGATGGATCTACTGGAGTATTATGAGGCCATGAACAGGAGCAAGGGTCTGACACAGACCATAGTGGAGGGACTTGTGCTCAGAGAAACAGACACAGAAGGCCATACAGGTGTGTGTGATTCCATTATAGAAAATGTCCAGAACAGACAAACCCAGAAGCAGGAAGTGGATTTGTGGAGGCTAGAGTGGGGACCTGTGGAGAACAGTTTCCTTTTGTGTGATGGAATCTTCTAGAAGTAAGCGCTAGCAATGGGTAAACTACTGCACTACAACACTGACATACACTGAGGTCAGGAAACCATTATGGTGCAGGAGCCATTATTAAAACTCAACACTGAGTAAGGACAACAAAGACGGCTCAGTATGTGCCCTCAAAAAATGAGGAGGTATGGGCCTGCAATCCAGAGAGGCTGGGCAGGGGCACTGTTACCAAAGCCCCTACATTGAGACTCTGTCTCAGAGCACCAAGGAAGGGGGATATAGTTCAGCCAGTGCTGCTTGCCTGGTATCTCACATCCTGGTCTCTGTGGCCACAGATTGCTGGCCACACTAAACAAGTGGGGGAAGCCCATCCTGGAGAGGCAGATCCCAGCTCCCCAGAGACCACAAAGCACAGCCTCCATGGGTCCCACAGCTTGGAGTGGGCCAGAGGGTCTGTGGCCTGACGGCCCCTGGACCAGGCTTACCGGAAGGCCTTATACGCAGGCCGGAACCAGCACACATAACTGCAGGGAGTGAAGAGAAGCAGCCAGAGCATGGCCAGGCCGAAGTTGGCCCCCGCTCCACCCGCAATCCACCAGGCCAGGCAGGCCACCAGGTTCACACCCAGAGTGGCACAGTAAACTGGAAGGGGGACACAGGTGGGAGAAGAGTGGGGGTAAATCACCAAGGACCACTGACAGGCCCAGGGGCCCTCTCTACCAGTGCATTAAGGATGAGCCTCATGTAGGACCAGGGTCTCACATCCCTTGGACCAACACACTGCACCTGCCCTTAGTGGGGATCCCCCTACCCCAAGAGGCTCACACATCCACAGCCGGTAGATCCTCTTCACCAGCACCTGGTGCTCCACAGGGATCTCATCGGAGAAGTCCTGGTAGAAGCAGGGCTTCAGCGGCACGAAGCGTGGCAGGGGCGGAAAGTTGTTCTCCTTTCCTACAGGAGGGAGACCCCCCAGGCAGCCTGTTGTGGCCAGAAGCTGGCAGGAGCACCCTCCCTACACCTTAGCTCCTTCCTGAGCCACCAAAGCTGGAGAGGACAAAGACCCTCGAAGGATCAGCCAGAGTCACACACCCAGGGTGTTAAATGAAGCCACTAAGGGGTGGCCACAGAGGGCACAGGTCCTAGGGTTGGCACCCAGTGTCTTGAGGGCAAAGAAAGGCAGGGCAGCTAAAGCTCCTCCATAGCCCCAGTGACCCTGCACACCTCTCCAAACTGTCTCATTTCACACCCCCCATCTGCAAACTGGAAGATGCTGGTGGCTCTTCAGTGGCCTGTCTATGCCCCACTGTGGCAAACAAGTTGTCACAAGGGCAAAAGCTGGGGAAGTCCAGGCCAGCTCTGCAACCACAACTCGAGTCCAGGGCTTTGGTGGGACTCAGGGAAACTGCCTGGGGAACAGGGTAGACTCACCTGCCATTTCTGTACCAGCTGACCTGGCACCCAAGCAGAAGGGGCCACCTGAAAGGAGACTACAATCAGGGCCTCTGTGGCCACCAGGCCCAGGAAGATCCTAACCCAGCCCACTGCTGCAGGCTTGGCAGGTGTTGGGGCTGAATGTGAGGCCACCTCATGTCACTTCCCCACAGAGCAGTCTGATGGGGGATGGGTCAAGCCACCAGCTGATGCCACTCACAGCCCTAGAGCCAGGGCTCTAGGTGCAGGTCTTGGTGTCCTCCCAACACTGAGCTCTGATTGTAACCCCACAGACACATCCCCTTAGGGCTCCCATTCCTTCAATCACCCAGAAAAGAACTCCCTGCCATGTAACAACCACATGGTCACACTAGCTCTGGGTGTGGAACTCATCTATAGGAACTCATAGGGACCCTGGCACAGCCCCAGATGCACCTAGCAATCACTTTTCAGAGTAGCTGTCCCAAAGTGCCACCTTCAGGACATGGCTGGGTAAGGCCCCCATGGGGTTTTGGGTGAGAAAGTTACAAGTATACCCTGGTCTCTAAGTCCAGGCCCTGCTCAACCAAGTGCCAGTAGATGGACATAGTCTCAAGATGGGCCACCTCACAACCCTGCCCCACCCTGCTTGCTGGTCACCTGACAAGTGAGGCCACAGAAACTTGTCCTCCAGGAAGAGCCCTGGCTTCCCTTGGAGGAGGAAGAATGGAAAGACTACGTGAGGACGCAGGCAGGAACCCAAGCTCTACCTATGCTCTAGACTGGGCCACACTCCTCAGTCTACACCTGCCTGACCTCTCTGTGGACTGTCAAGCCTGGGCTTGGCCTCTTTTGCCCATGTCCCCTCAGTGTGGGACAGCCTCGAGGCCTGGCCTACAGACAGCTTAGTTCAGAAGCGCCAATGCCAGGCAAAAGGCAAGTCAGAAGCGTCAGCATGCTGCTGGGAGTTCTAGCACTCTACACTCAGACTGATTAACCTCCCCATGAGAGAGGTATACAGAATGGTCACAGCTTGTGGGTGAACTGACCTCACACCAACAGGTGTCCAGACATACTTGGAACCTTCCAGATTCCAGAGACAGGCAAGGATGCCCCCTGAGCTGTTTCTGCCCCTAAAAACACCCAGAGACAGCTGCACTCAGCGGGCTGCCATCCCTCCCCTTCATAAACCACACAGCCTAACGCAGACGCCACCCTAGCTGGGCACCTTGGTGCAAATGGGAACTTGGTTTGAGGTGTTTTATTTTCACACACCATGGCTGCTCCCTGCCCCGAGCCTGGAGGGACCATGGGGACTGTTAAGTCAGCCATTGGGCTTATAAGCAGGGTTGAGCCTCACGGTCGGTCACTGCAGCTGGCAGAGAAGAGGTCACCGTCTCAGGGCTCAGAGGCCTCACACACTGACACACCCAAAGGGTGGGGCCCCTAGGCCATGGAGCTTAAGGGATGTGGACTGGCCAGGAGCAGGGAACAGTCTAGTAGCGGAAGGTGACCAGGCCTATGGGTCGGGATCCAGCTGGCGGCACTGGTCCTCGAGGATACCGCGAAACACCTGGAAGCGGTGGTTGAGGTCTGGCCGTGCATGGACACGGAAGCGTGTGCCCAGGGCGCCATCTGGAGAGGACGCCCCATAGAAAACACGCTGGATGCGGGCATGGACGAGAGCCATGGCACACATGACACAGGGCTCGCGAGTAACGTACAGGTCATAGCCGGTGCACACATAGGGCATGCCATCCTCGTCCTCATCCAACTTGCGCACACTGCCTGCCCGTGCACCTTGGGCGGTGGTGGCCGGGGTGAAGGAGCAAGCTGGATGCTGTCTGAGGTCACAGGTGCCACGGCCCTGCCCCTGGGCCACCAGGTCAATGCACACCATGACTGCGTGCAGCAGGGGGCTGGCCATGTTGCTGCAGTCATGGCCAGTGGCCAGCACGCAGTCTGAAGCTGGGTCTACCACGACAGCGCCCACTGCCCGCAGACCCTGGCCAGCTGCCCTCTGGGCGGCACGCACCGCCTGTTCCATATGGCGCTGCATGGCTGCTCGCGCCTGCGCAGAGAAGAGCTGTCCGGCCAGTGCGCTGGTCACCTGCTTGTCCTCGTGGAAGGATGTGGGCCAGTGGGCCCGTGCCTCCTCAAACTGGTTCCGGGTGAGGGGCGGCCGGGCAGGCACAGGCACCAGGAAAGGTGTGCCCAGGCCACGAGGGTCCACAGCCGGCCTAGGGAGGAGCTCAGCCAGCGAGCGTGGGCCCGCAGAGGGCCCTGCCAGGCACAGCAGCAGATCCGATGCGTGAGAGCCGCTGGCACTGCGGCTGGGGCGCACCCGCTTGAGGTGGGGCTGGGCTGGAAGTGGATAGATGGCGGATACCTCCCGGAGGAGACGGGACGTCTGGCGCTTGTCTAGGACTGGCGCAGCATAGGCCAGCACCAGCTCCATGGCCCCCGATTGCTGCTCCGACAGGACAGGGAGGGCTTGCCATTGCGCCGGCTCTTGCTCCTCACTTCCAGCCTTCTCAGGCTCAGGCTGCTCTGCAGGGCCCGAGGCAGGCTCCATCCTTAGCGAGGTTCGACTGTGGGAGACAGAGATGGGACTGGAGCGTCATCCCTCAGCTTCAGTGGGTCAGGGGGGGTCTGTCCTGGGATGCTGTGGGTCACGCCAGGCCCAAGAATGAGGAGTCCAGAGTGCCAGGTAGAGTCGGCTGACTCCCGGGCTGCTCAACAGAACTGTGCCAGGCTCTTCAGGGCTCAGTCCATGTGCACACGACAGACGCCGTGTTGAGGGTAGTGTGGAGACAGGCACTTATCACTATCAAATCCAGAACCCACCCTAGCAGTCCTTGCCCTGTTAAACCAGCCCATTGTCATCCCAGGAGGTGTAGGTCAGGGAATCAGGAATTCAGTGACTGAGGCCAGCCCAGGCTACATAAAACCTTGTCATTGGTGGCACATGTTGTAATTCCAGCACTTGGGAGGCAGGCAGGTCTCTGAGTTTGAGGCCATCCTGGGCTACAGAGTGAGTTCCAGGGCAGCCAGGGCTACACAAAGAAACCCTGTCTTGGAAAACAAAACAAAAACCTTGTCTCTAATAAAAAATCCACGAAAGACAAAACCCAGTCCTTGGCCCATAAGCAAGCCCATGGTCACCCACCCATAGACAACTGCTTCTCTATCTGTACCTCCAGAGGTCACAGGTCTGGTATGGGCTGCTGACATGCTCTGGCTGACTTCAAGACCTCGAGTCTAGTAGGAGAAACAGAAATCTGCCTGCAGTCTGCAGAGTGGACCTGCCTTATCCAGTCCACATGAGAACAGCCCCATGGGTCCCTCAAAGTCAGCTAGGTGAGACCTTTGGAGGGTGTGGCCACAGCACATGCAGCTCCTGGCTAAGGTGACAGGACTGTTGGGCAATCATTCCAAGCTCGTAAGTGTCCCATTTTCTATACAGTAAACAGGGGTGGGAGGTGGAGTGCAGGGCCAACCCCAGAAAAATATAAACCTCACACTCACAATACACCTGACCCCAGGTGGCTTCTATGGGACATGTTCACCCTGGTCTACTGAATGGTCACATAAGACCAGAGCCAGACATATACCCAATGGCACATGCTTGTCATCCCAGCACTTGTGGGGCAGAGGCAGGAGGATAGCTGTAAGCTAGAGCTAGCCAGCCAGAACAACATTGCAATACCCCACTTCAATCATCTGTACCCCAGAGAAAGGCACCAGGCCTAAGATGCACCCCAAGAAAACAGATCCTGCCAAACAAGGCAGGCATGTGGCCATGGCCCATCCCACAGTGGACTTGTACTCTGGGGTATGGTCTGCCTGAAGCACCCCACCTCCTGCTGTAGTGGTCTAGCCTGGGAACATGCCTATCCATGGCACCTGAACTTTGCTGTCCCAGCACCCAATGAAGCCTGAGCTGACAGCCAACACCACTGCCATCCTGTGACAGGAGAAAAGCCGGGCTCTGAGAGGTGTCCAGTGAGATCTAGGCTGTGGGGAAAGGATGCTCTTAGCCATCAGACACTGCTTCTCATTGCTCTGGAGTCACAGCTAGCCAGGACAAGATGGCAGTCCCACAGCAGGCTTCACACACAGACCACCTGCCATCCAGTTCTCTGCTACTGAACCCACTCACCATCATTGCATCCTCAGCTGAGCTGCTGCCTCCCTGTCCCACTGTGCCCGTATGGCTAACTGTACCTATAGATAATCATCAGGCTCCACCTTCTTTACAAGGGTTCAGAGCAATTATCAGAGCACTGCCTAGAATTCCCCAGGGAGAAGGCCCATGGTGTGGCTCAATGATGGCAGGAACTTACCAGCCACGCTCAAACCCAAGTTATAAACAAAGCAACAAACCAGGAAGCAAGCAAGCTAGCTCCTGCAAGGTGACTTGCAGGGCTGCCTGTAGTGGGCTTTTCTGAACTATCCAACATCACACCCCACACACTGCTATCCCTGCTGGTGTGCACCCAGCCAGGAGAATACTCTATGTGATGGACTAATGAAAATCTGTTGCCTTTCAGGGTTCACCCAGGCTGCCCAGGTCAACACTGGAACTATGGGCTAACTACAGGTGCTCCTAGGAGCCCTAGGACTAGGGAGAATGGTGCCGGACATGTTTGAGAGCCTGGTATCACCATGACTCCCCCTGCACAGGCTCCACAGCAAGCAGAGCCCATGAGGGGCCATGTGACATCTGGCCTCCCCAGAGCACATGCTACGCCTACAACCCCACCAACTGCCAGAGTCACAAGGCACCACTGTGCAGAAGACAGCCTCACTTGTCTCCTTAAGGCTACAACAAAATAAGGGGCACAGAAATAAGGTTGCCTTGGGGACAGGCAGTCTGCGTTTATGGACCTCTGGAAAGGAGTTTAAAAACTATAGGATGGTAGCCAAGGCTATGGCCAGAGGGGTCCTTCAAGCTGACTGCTTTCAAGGCCTGTCCTATATGCTTGCTTTCTTGTTTTGAGACAAGGTTTCCCTGTGTAGCCCAGACTAGTCTAGAGCTCAGCATGTACATCAGGCCAGCTTCAAACTTAGTCATCTTCACGTCACTGCCTCCTCCCACATGTTGGCACTGAAGAGGACACCAGCATGAATAGTTCCTTTGTTTTAAGTGACAGGTAAGCACTGTGGGTCAGCATGGAAACAGGTTCAAAAGGAGCCCCTGCCCCTTGTACCACAGACAGGGACCTGGGGCCACTCCCTACAGTGGCTTTGGAGGTCTATCACTCTCTGAGGAGCCTCAGCATACCAAAATGAGGAACTGCGGGCAAACAATGGGCCCTGGGTCCAGGGTCCAACACAAAGGGACCATGGCTGTAGACTACAGGGAAGACGGAAAACAGCATCACAGTACACAGGCCTGAAACACCAGGCACTCAATAAACCCCTAGGTAGCAGGATGTTGAGTTCTGGGCCATTGAAGCAAAACCTTCCAAAACAAAAACTAAAAAGGGCTGGGACAGAGCTCAGCAGTGGAGAGCCTACCTATTCTACAGTGAGGGGCTCAGGGGTAGAGTCCCTTCCTGGAATCCGGTACTGAAGGGAGAAGACGTGGATCAGCAGCACAGTGCTCGTCTAGCATGACCAAAGTCCAGGCTTCAATCCCTGGTACCAACAAAAATACCAAGAATTCCCATAGGGTACCGCAGCTTAAAGGAAAACTGCACACTTGCTGTGAAGATGATGAACAGACAACCGTACGGCAGGGGACTACCTGCGATGACACGAACAAACAACCGGAACACGAACAAGCAACTGGAAATCACGGAGTTTCCGGAATTAGAAGTAGATTACACGCGTGCGCAGCAAACCGACGGCGTAAAGTGCAATCGGTACAAAGCATCTGCGCATGCGTACTAGCATTGAATGCTCGCGCACGAGCACGCCTACCGCCCCCCGGGACGCGCGCGACACTCCCTGAGCCTAAGTGGTCGGCCCCGGCAAAGCCTTCTTTCCCTGTTCACCGCCCGGGACAAGTTGCCATCCCCGCTGCCCGGTGGCAGGTCAAGAACAGGGAAAGCCGAGCCCCTACGGCGGCTGCTCACCTGTGGGACGCGCGCGCGAACGCCACGCTTCTCCTAGTCTTAGCAACCGGGCCGCCCCGCCTACCGCCGCGGGGCACGGCGGGAACGTATTTATGTGGGCGGGGCCTGATCGAGGCGGAGACCTGACTACAATTCCCATAAGGTCGCACGCGTGCTTGGTCACTCCGCCATAGTGTGTCTAGGGGCCTTTTTTTCTTGTACCCTGAATGGGGCAAACAACGCTATTTCCTGGGGCTGAAGAGATGGCGCAATGGTTAAGAGTACTGACTGCTCTTCCAGAGGATCAAGACCCTCGCATGAGTGGCCAAAACTCGGACCCTGCTTGACATTTTGAGGCATCCACAGAAAGGAGCTTTGAGGCGGAAGGAGAATCTACGCCATCTATAGTTAACTCAAAGAGCATTTGCCCTCGGGCTACAATAAAGTTTCCATGTTGCAGCTGAACTGTGGTTCGCATTGCTTGGAAGGTGACTGTGGTCTCAGGTTTTGGTTCCACTCTCATCTGTACAGTGGGTGAAGCAAATATGTGGACTGTTGAATAAAATTGGGATTCAGGCTGTACACGGTTTGTAGAGTGCATCCAGGAACCCCCGGATTCCATCCACAGCATTGTTAGTGGCACATGCTGCTCATCTACCGCTCTGGATGTCGAGATTAGAACGTTCAAGGTCGTGATGGGGATTGGCTTTAATCCCAGCACTCTGGAGGCAAAGGCAGGTAAAGACCCTGTCTCAAACAACAACAAAAGTTTTGGGGATGTAGACAAATGATGAACACTTGCCTAATAGCTGTGAGGCCCTGGATTCAATCTCTGGCAATGCATAAAACAAAATATTAAAAAGTGAAGCCAGCGGGGCTGGAGAGATAACTCAGTGTTTAAGAACATGAACAAGCTGTGCCAGGCGTTGGTGGCACACTGCTTTAATCCCAAAACTCGGGAGGCAGAGGCAGGTGGATCTCTGTGAGTTCGAGGTCAGCCTAGAGTACTGAGCAAGTTCTAGAATAGCCTCCAAGCTACAAAGAAACCCTGTTTCGGAAGAAAAAAAAAAAAAAAAAGTCCAGTGTTCATTTCCCAGCACAAGGTGACTCACAACCATCTATAATGGGATCTGATGCCCTCTTCTGTCATGCAGACTACATGCAAATAGAGAACTCATACATACATACATACATACATACATACATACATACATACATGGGGGGAACCAAGCATGGGGGTTCATGTCAGCATATGAGCTATCAGCATGAACAAGCTGAGCCAGGAGGATCACAGGCCTTTAATTCCAGCATTCTGGAGACAGAGGCAGGCCGATTCGAGGACAGCCAGAACTACATAATGAGACCATGTCTTGAAAAAACAACAACAAAAGAAATAAAATTAATGAATAAATAGTAGGGGCAGGAGGGATGGTTTAACATTCAGAGCTGGCAATAATTTTTAATTGTTTTAGATACAGTCTCATTGTGTAGAGTCCCTGAGACCCTCCCAGAGCCCTTCCTTCTCCATGGCTCAGTGATCATGACATTTCCTGGAGGCCTCATAGAACGGCCATGACTAAAATATAAACTGCCTAGTTCAGCTGACTAGCCAGGAAGATAGTTACCAGAGATCCTGGATTGGCTCTGGAGGGTCAGCTTGCTTACAATCTTCTTGGCCTGTCTGCCAGGTTCTTTCTGGAATAAAGAGTATCTTTTGATCAGCTATCAGACCAGAACAAATTCCATAGGATTAGTTTACAGCTGCTTTCAAGACAGATAAGTAGGAGATTAATATGGCTGTGACCCTTGTCACAAAGCCAGAAACCTTAGGTACTCTGTCTTCTTCCAGGAGGCCATGTGAGCCAAGGGACTCTGAAGGAGAACCAAGAGTTTTGGGTCATTACACCAGAATGGGATCACCAGGACACCCATTTTTTAAATTTTTATTATTATTATTATTTTATTACTATTATTATTATTATTTATTATTATTATTATTTTGCCTGAGCCCGGCCCCATAAAAATGTTATGTCAGGCCTAGGGAGTGAGTTGGCAGTGAGGAACCCTGACTGTTATCCCAGAGGACCCAAGTTTGATTCCCAGATTCCCAGTACCCACATGGTGGCTCACAAACATCTGTAACTCCAGCTCCAAAAAATCCAATGCTCTCTCTGGCCTCCATGGACACTACAGATGGATATTCAGGCATACATTTATATGCATAAAATGAAAATAAACAAGATGCTTGTAGTGGTGAACACCTTTAATCCCAGTACTCTCAGGAGGTAAAGGTAGGTGGATCTCTGAGTTCAAGTCCAACCTGGTCTACAGAGTGAGTTCCAGGGCAGCCAGGGCTACATAGAGAGACCTTGTCTTGGAAAAAAAAAAAAAAAAAAAAAAAAAAGGTAGTGCATAGTGGTGTCCAAAGAAGAGTGGGATTGTGGGTAGAAGTAGAGACCCCCATTTCCTGCATATATTCCCCAGTGAGGGTTTAGGGGTGTGGGCAGTGGTGGAGCCCCTCCTAGAATCTCCCAGTGAGGGGCTAGTGGCTGGCTGGGCGCTGTGATTGCTTGTCTACCTTGTAAGAAACCTTTGATTTGATCACCAAAATAAGTAGAGGGCATAATCTTCATGGCCTGGGGTGAAGGTGGGAGTAATTCTGACTCTGGGAAAGGAGTCTTGAGGGGTTCCTCTGCCTTCTCTACTATCTCTGGTCCATCAGCGAACTTCATGCCACCTCAGCTTGTCAGCTCTTTTGAGAAGCCCCAATTTCCTGCCTATACTCTACAGAAACCATTCCCCTAGCCCCTTGAAATCAGCCATGATCTGGACACAAACTCCATAAATGCAACTGTCTTCAAGGCATAGCTTCTGGCTGTGCACTTTTGACACCCAAGATTTGAAACCTGCTTTGTAAATCAGGAAAGGAAGCCTGGGGTGGTGGCTTTGTACCTGTGATCCCAGCGTTGAGGAGGCTGAGGCAGGAGGACCACTAAATAGTGACTAGCCTAGGGTAAGCAATGAGACTCCATCTCAAAGCTCAACAAAAGGGGTCAGGGCTGCAGCTTAGTGACTAGAGGGCTCATTTGGCATGCATAAAGGTATAGATTCCATCCCCAGCAATGCATAAACCAGGCAGGGTACACCTGTTACCCCAGTATGTGGGAGGTAAAGGCAGGAAGCAAGGAGCAGGAAGTCTAGATCACCCTTGGCTATAAAGCTAGTTTGAGGCCAGCCTGAACTGCATGAGACATGCTGTTTCATGTCTCAAAAAAGAAAAAGAAAAGAAAAGATACTATGGGATGTCACTGTCACTTCTTAAACTTCAGGGAAAAATCTCTCCAATTTGACTGTTCTCCATTAAGCCTAACAGCCTTGGGGCCATCTGAGATCTGAACAGATCCAAGACAAGACAGTCTCAGTTCACAAAGCTGGCTAGACCCAAAATCCTCTTCCATCTCAGCAATTTTGTGAAGAGTAGTTCATTAATTCTGGGTTTTCCCTTTCTTTTTTTAAAAATAAGATTTGATTTGTTTTGTGTGATTTTTTTGTGTTTACATGCATGTGTGTGCACCAAGTGTGTGCAGTGCCCACCAAGGCCAGAAGAGGGCGATGGATCCTCAGAGCTGGAGTTATAGATGCTTGTGTGTTGTGGGTTCTGGAAACTGAACCCAGATCCTCTGAAAGCAGCCAGTGTCCTTTAATGCTGAGGTGTCTCTATAGTCTTTTCTTTCCTTTCCTTCCCTTCTCTTTCTTTCTTTTTTTTCTTTTTTCTTTTTTTTTTTTTTTTCTTTTTTTTTTTTTTTTTTTTTTTTTGAGACATGGTCTTATTTGGATTAAGTTACACAGAACCCTGGGTGACTGGGTGATGCCCCTGTCTCATGATTTCAACTGCTGGAATGAATGTTTGATTTCAGCTTCCTTCCAAATTGACAATAACAGGCTCTTCCTTCCTTCCCTCCTTCCTTTTCTTTCTTTCTTTCTTTTTTTTTTTTTTTTTTTTTTAATTTTGGAGACAGGGTTTCTCTGTGTAGTCCTGGTTGCCTAGAACTCACTTTACAGTACAGGCTGGCCTGCTTCTGTTTATCCTATCCTCCTCTGGGATTAAAAATCCGCACCATCATCACCCAGCTAAATAGTGGGCTTTTATTTACTTTGTGTTGGGGGGGCGTGAATGCCATAGTGTGGGTCTGCAGATCAGAGGACAGCTTACAGGACATGGGTCTCTTTCCACTCTGAGTCCTGGGGATTGAACTCAGGCTTGGCAACATGCTTCTTTACCTGCTGCACCATCTCACCAGCCCCTGTATTTTTAATGTTCAATATACTCTGTGTAGTACTGGCTAGCCTTGAACCGGTGGTCCTCTCTCGACTCTGCCTCCTTCCCAGAGCTGATATAACAGGTGTATACTACTATGTTCAGCTAACAACAGAGGGTTTTCCTTATACAAAAATGTCCTGGGGTATAAGGGCAGTACTGTAAAGAGAGAGGGTGGGAGCTGAGTTTTATTCCATCAACTTTAGTCTTGTCCCTGGCCATTCTCCAACCCCCAGCCCCAGGGCTACCTTCACTCCTTAAGGATTTATTCCAGGCAGAACTTGGCTTTCTGGTTTAGCCAGCCCTGGCTCCTCCCAACTCTGAGCTGGAATGGCCTGGAGGGAATCCTGGGTATGGTGGTTAAAGAAATCCCTGGGATCCAAGTTTGATATTGCACACCTCTGGCCCCAGCACTTGGGAGGCAGAAGCAGGCAGATCTCTGTGAGTTTGAGGCCAGTCTGCTCTAGAGAGTGAGTTCTAGGACAGCTAGGGTTACACAGAGAAACCCTGTCTCAAAACAAAAATTTTTTTTTCTTCAGATTTTGTTTTGTTTTGTTTTTCTGGAGAGAGGGTTTCTCTGTGTAGCTCTGGCTGTCCTGGAACTTACACTGTAGATCAGGCTAGTCTCAAACTCAGAGATCTGCTAGACTCTGCCTCCCAAGTACTGGAACTAAATGTGTGATCCACTATCCTATCTTAGCCATTAAAAAAAAATTTTTTTTTTAGATGTTTATTTATTTATTTTGTTTTTTTGAGACAGGGTTTCTCTGTGTAACAGCCCTAGCTGTCCTGGAACTAGTTGTGTAGACCAGGCTAGCTTCAAACTCACAGAGATCTGCCTGCCTGCCTCCTGAATGCTGGGACTAAAGGTCCCAGCCACCACCACCTGGCTTCACTTTTAAAAACATTCATTTATTTTGTATGTGTATGCATGCCCAGTGTGATAACTTTGCTTCTTCTGTGTGGGTTTCAGGGTTTGAACCCAGCTTCCCAGGCTTGTCAGGAAGGGCCTTACCACTGAGCTATCTTGCCAGCCCATGTACTATATATGTTTTCATAGTGTTAAAAATAACGATGGATGTGGAGCTTAGTGCCTAGCATTCAATAGGCAACAATTTCTAGGCCAACCTTGAATACAGAGGGAGACCTTGTCTCTAGAACCAAGTGAGAGCCTTGTGTAGTGGTATACCCTTTTAATCCCAGCAGTGGTGAGGCAGAAGCAAGCAGCCTGTGAGTTGGAGGCCAGTCTGGTCTACATAGTGAGTCACTGTCTCAAATAAATAGATACATGAATGAATAAACTAACTGAACATGTAGTTCAATTGTTAGAGTCCTTGCACAGTATAAAGTTACAGTTGCAGTTCTCAGGAACCTCACTTGGTGACACAATCCTGTTGTTAAGAGCAAGCCAGTTTGAGCTGTATGACACTTTTGTCACAAAAGAGATGGGGGGTCAGGGGTGGAGAAGGAATGAGAATGCAGAGTGTAGAAAGTAGTAAAATTGGGTGTGGTGTTATATACCCTTCATCCTAGTAGAACGCTGGTGGAGGTCATGAGTTCAATACCTCTCTGGGCCACTTGAGATCATGTTCCCCTCACCTCCCTGAAAGGGAGCTTCAGGTGGTTTGGTTTGGTCAGGAGAATTGCTGAGTTTGAGGGCCCAACCTGAGCCTAGAATTGCCTGCCCTACAGATTAAGATGCTGTCAAAAAAAAAAAAAAAAAAAAAAAAAAAAAAAGGGAAAAAAGGAGAAGGTTCTGTGACTAAGAGCTTTTATTGCTCTTGTGACCCCACATAGCTAAAGACCATAACTCCAGTTCTGGGGGGAATTCAATATTCAATAGCCTCTTTTCCTTGGGCGTTAGGCATACATGTGCTCACATACATACATGTAGCTAAATGTCTATTGGGCCTATGGTAGTGGATCAGTATTCATCTCTAGTATACCAATGGACTTTGGGAGCCATTCCACATAGATGGATAATCAGCCTAGACACAGGCGGGGGGGGGGGAAGACACCTAGGCCCTGCTCCAAATGATAAAACAGGCTTTGAAGATACCCTATGGAAGGCCTCATCCTCCCTGGGGAGCAGAAAGGGGATGGGATGTGGGTTATGGGGGACAGGGGAGGAGGGGAAGGAGAGGGAACTAGGATTGACATGTAAAACAAGCTTGTTTCAAATTTAAATTAAAAAAGGAAAAAAAAAAAAAAGACAGGCACACATACATACATATGAATGCCTGGCAGTGGTTGCACACACCTTTAGTTCCAGCACTTGGGAGGCAGAGCTGCAGGCAGATCTCTGAGTTCCAGGTCAACCTGGTCCACAGTATAAGTTCCAGTTCAGCCAAGGCGACACAGAGAAAACTTGTCTCAGGAAACAAAAAAACAAAACAAACAAACAAAAAAATGAAGAAACCAAAAAGAGAAAGTAGGCCAGTAAAATGGCTCAGTGGGCAAAAGGCACTTGCCAAGCTTGTATCTGAGTTCAGTCCCTGGGACTCACTTGGTGGAACAATAGAATCGATTCTCAGTTTTCCGACTTCCACAGGAACTCCACACACAGCAATATATATGCAAGGCAATAAATCAAATAAAATTGGGAAAGAGAATCTTTTTTTTTTAAATGTAAGGTTGTTCTGCCTGCATGTAGTCTTTATAGTCTATCTAATGACTGCAGAAGGCAGAAGTAGACATAGGATCCCATGGAACTCTAATTACAGACGGTTTTGAACTTTGTGGGTGCGGGAAACTGAATCATTATATATATATATATATATATATATATATATATATATATATATTTTTTTTTTTTTTTTTTTTTTTTTTGTAAAAACAGGCATTGTTCTTAAACGCTGAACCTTGCCTCCAGCTTCTGTCTTCAGACCCGGAGAGAGAATGATTTGGTCTATTGCCTCTCTAGGAATGCAGGGGTGGGGGGGATGGAAAGAATGATTTAAAAGATAAGTAGGGGGCCGGGCAGTGGTAGCACACAGCATTTAATCCCAGCACTCGGGAGGCAGAGGCAGGTGGACCTCTGTGAGTTTGAGGACAGCTTGGTCTACAAAGCAAATTCCAGGACAGCCAGGGCTACACAGAGAAACCCTGTCTCCAAAAAAAAAAAAAAAAAAAAAAACCAACCAACCAATGAACCACTAACCACCACACCAACCAACTAACCAACCAAAAAAACCCCAACAGGTATGTGGACTCTGTCCACCCTACCTGGCTTGGTTCCCAGTTTATGCCCTGCCCCTAAGCATACCTGCTCCACTCCCGTAGTGCCACACCCTACCATGGCCCCGCCCCTAGGCCGGTTAGTTCCGCCCACATTTCATGCCCCGCCTCCTAAACCAAGCCCCTCCCCTAGACCCTCCCTCGCGCCTCCTGTGGCCAGCCACGCCCACTCAATCAGGCCTCGCCTTCTACATGAGGCCTCTCTCCAGCACATTCGGCTTCTCCCGTCCATGGACACTCTCCCAGCAATGCACCTCCCACAACAATCCACTCAATCCGTTTTGCTGTCGCTTTGTCCCGCCCCCAGAAACAGCTAGGGGACTCCTCGCTTGCGCATCCCCTCGATGCATCACTTCCGGGGCGGTGTTAGGAGACTCACTTCCGCCCGCGGTGGCGCGGCGGTGGTGGCTGCGCAGGAGACCCGGTCGCGGTCCCGAGGGACAGACGGACGGACGCAGGGGCGGGCGGCCGGGAGCCATGGAGTGCGGCCCCGGGGCCGGCGGACGCGGGCGGCGGTGAGTGCGGGCGGGCGCGCGTGGGCGGCGGCGGTTTGCGGAGCGGGGCCAAGGCGAGCGGGGCCCTGCGTCCGAGACAGACCGGCGTCCTTCGGGAATGGCAGCGCCACCAGAACACCCACCCTGTCCCTGGCGTCCCTGTCTGCCCGTGCAGCGATCCTGGGGCAATCGCTTAACCTCCTCAGGACACGGCTCTGCTCCAAGAAACGCCCGGGCCCAGCCGCAGACCCGGAGCCATCTCCGGAGCCTGTCCCTATCCCACACCACCTCCGCCTCCCTGATGACACTCGCCGGCCACTTCTGTGCCATGTTTGGTGTCTTCCGGCCAGCTGGGGCCCACATCAGGCTTCTCTTATTGCAGCCTAGGACTTCTCCATGGTTCCCCATCACCCCCACGATGAAGTCCTCACCCTGCAGCAGAGCCCGAGGGTGCTGCTTGAGCCGACCCTGCTCACCCTAGGATCCCTTCTTGCAGTTTTTCGAATCCTCTCTCGCCTCAGGGTTTACCTCTCCCGTCCTCTGTCATTTGGCTATTTTTCTTTTCACATGAGTGCGCCCACGCAGAGGCCAGAGGCCAGCTTTCTGGTGTCAGTCCTCTCCTATGTGGGTCCCCATGATCCAGCTCGGTTCTTCAGACTTGGTAGCAAGTGCCTTTACCTGCTGAACTATCTTTGTCAACCTGTCTTCATTCTGTGCACTCCTTAACTTGTGCTGTGTAGAGCGGTTTCCTCCTTACCCCGACTGGCTGGGTGAGACATGCCAGTGCAGGCAGGCATATGTAGGTCGTCCTAGAGTCTTTGCTTGTAACACCAGGACCTGTTTTTATGTTTGTGGTCACAATACTTGGGTTTTTGAGAGTCAGTGAGTGAAATATCTTGGCTTGTGCTACCCAGTGGCACCCTTCTGTGAATGAGTTCCCACATGACCCCTGCATTATAACACTGGCAGACCCTGGAGGCTTATGTCTTTCTCCTAGAACTTCCTCATTTTCTGTGGCTGGTCAGCACATGATGGTTGAGTGAAGCTGGTCCTTATTGGTCCTGCTGGCCCTACCCCCATGGAGTTTCTTGTTTAGGGTGGAGATCTGTTTAACTGTAGAAGAATGTAAATGTGGGATCCTTACCATGTGGAGGATTCAGGAAGGAAACCGAGGCCTACCCTTGTTAGACTTGTTTAGAAAGTATACTGTAAGATGAGAACCCAGAGGTTGCACCCTGATAAGCTGTGCCTAAGGATGTGGTCTATGAGTAGGGAGGACACCCCTAAAAGGGAGATCACTCGATGGGTGTGTGCTGCAGAGTTGCTGGGGGGGGGGGCAGCCTAGCAAAGGCTGATAGTGGCTGAGATGTTCCCCAGGCCGGGAGGCTAGAGTGCAGTAGGGGAAAGGTTCAGGTTGGCCTGGCAGGTGGATCCTTGGGAGTGGACTGGGGGGAAGGGTCAGTGATAGCATCCACTTTGTTCTTCTCAAGCATGGTCAGGGACTCCTCTCCCCAGACTGCAGGTCTTCCAAGCTCTACCTCACCAAGGGTTGTTTCAGGGTGTTCCTTGATGAGGCCTGGATTATAAAGCTGATGTCTCTAAACATTGACCTTGTGTGTATTTGGCAGGGTCACTCCCTTACAGGGCTGTTCTGAGCTATTCAGGATCCTGGTCTCTATGTTAGGAGTGCTTTGGGTTACAAATGTGACCCTGTGTCTTCCTGGTCTCCACTTATTCCTAGTTAGGAATGCTCCTGGTTACAGACATGGCCTGGTGTCTCTTAGAGACAGGTTCTCATGCATCTGAGAATGGCCACTTGGGAGCTGGAGATTTCATGTTTTGTTTTGTTTTTCAAAACAGGGTTTCTATGTGTAGTTCTGGCTGTCCTGGACCTATGTAGATAGACCAGGCTGGCTTAGAACTCAGAGATCGACCTGCCTTTTCCTCCTTAGTGCTGAGACTAAAGGTGTGTGCCATCATCGCCTGGCAGGAGTTGGAGATTTCTTTTCTTTCTTTCTTTAACTTTATTTTATGTGTATTGGTTTAAAGATGTCCGATACCCTGGAACCAGAGTTAGAGACAGTTGTGAACTGCCATGTGGGTGCTGAAAATTGAACCTGGGTCCTCTGGAAGTGCTCTTAACTACTGAGCCATCTCTTCAGCCCCAAATTGGAGATTTCTTGACATTATCTTTATTCCTGCTCTGGCTGTCGTATGTCTTTTCTCAGTGTGTCCCTGAATTGTCTTGGACTGTGAACATCACTCCACTCAGCCCCAGGCTGCACACCTCAGGTCCACAGGTAGCAGAGATTTGTGTGTGAGCCCACAGCTGCCTCAATGTTCTGTGTCTCTCTGTCCTGTGGATTTGTATGCTGTGACCTAAAACCCAGGTGTGCATGGATATTCTGTTAAAGTTGAGTTGTGATGTCTCCTGTTTTCTCCCAGACAGTGAGAGATGAAAGATATGGTTAGTGGTGGGCTTTTCTGGAAAGGTCTCTGTGTCTGTCCTTTGGGCAGGTCTGTACACAATGGTAGTGGCTTTGGTGTCATTTGAACACATTCAGGGTCTCCTGCAGTAATGGAGCATCTGAGTATCCATTGGATACTTAAGTCCCCACTTAACCCCCTTCTGTAGTTTGCTGCCTCTGTGAGGCAATCAGTCTGCACATTTGTAGGTGCAAGGAACCCAGCCCCAGGAGGTTGGGCAACTGAACCTTGTCTGAGGTTGCAAGCTACGGGAGGCTCCAACTGCGCTGACCCCAGGGAGACAGGCCTGGTTCCAAGCACAGGGACAAACCATTGTCCCAGCCAATGGAGCCCTATGTCTGAGATGCATCCTGTCCTTGTTCCCGGTCTTTGTTTCTGTTTCCTCCCCTGGGCTCTGTCTCTATGCTCCAAGGCCCAGTGGTGCCCCCTCCCCCATCCCCCTGTGTGGGATCCTGGGAATCTTTGGATCTCTTCAGTTTAAGACCTGTGATGCCTTTGTCACCTGTTCCTGGAGGATGTAGCTCCTTAAAGGACTGAGGGAGACACTGCTGGGCAGGCAGAAGGTCTGGGCATAGGACTGGGAGTGCTAGAATGGCAAGAGGCTGGGGGTATACACAACAGAGTTGTGGATCAGAGGTCCAAGAGAGACTGCAGGGTGAGCTAGGGCTGTGGACAGGGTAAGAGGAACAAGATAGACCATGGATGTGGGGACACGCCTTCCTCTCTGCCTGGCATCAGCTGGCACCTGGTTCCACCCTAGCTTTCTGGAGGGAACCCACATCTTGGTGTTCCCTGCAGGGTGTCCCATTGTACGGCATGGAGACCTGTGGCTGCGAGGCTCCCGAGGGCTCGCCTTGGACCACGATGGGGCCAGGCCGCGGCCTCCTAACCGGACTAAGGTGTGCGGCCCGCGTGCCTGGCCGCCCGCTGCCCGCGTCTCAGAGCACCCCCGCCCCTCCCCTGGCCCGGCGCGGGCCCCGTGCCCGCCATGAACGGCCTGTCGGTGAGCGAGCTCTGCTGCCTCTTCTGCTGCCCACCCTGCCCGGGCCGCATCGCCGCCAAGCTCGCCTTCCTGCCTCCCGAGCCCACCTACTCACTGGTACCCGAACCTGAGCCGGGGCCTGGAGGGGCCGGCGCTGCCCCCTCAGGTCCCCTGCGGACCTCAGCGGCCACCCCCGGGCGCTGGAAGATCCACCTGACGGAGCGTGCTGACTTCCAGTACGGCCAGCGTGAGCTGGACACCATCGAGGTCTTCCTGACCAAGAGCGCGCGCGCCAACCGCATCGCCTGCATGTATGTGCGCTGTGTACCAGGTGCCAGGTGAGCTGGGGCTTCAGGGCTCGTTGCAGGGGTGCCTGGGCGCTGCACCGCCCCGCCTTCCAGGCCACCTTACCCCTCTTGTAAAGGACAGGAGAACCTGCTCTCAGGTTCTTGCTTTCAGGTCCCTACCAGAGGGTGAGGTAGAGGAGTGACAGCTTCCCTAGGTAGAGTCTGTAGTCCAAAGGGCAAACCTTTTACTCAGGAGCCAGGCAGGTGCTTCAGGAAGCTGCCTGGGCAGGGCCATGCAGGTGCATGGCCTTGACCTGGTGCAGGCCCTTGTTTGTTGTAGACCTGTCTGAACAGGATGGGCCTTAAGAGTTTGCTGGTGGCCAGGGATAGGGCCCAGTCCCCCCCCCCCCAGCAATGGAGCATCCACTAGTGGAAGCAGCATGGGAGCAGGCTCTTTCTCAGTAGTAGTGCCCAGCATCATGGAGTGTACACGTCACCATGGAGATGGTCATCAGCCTCCTGGGTCTCTCAGTAGTTCCTGGTATCCCCTGTAGATGGGAAGCCTAAGGCCTGCTGGCTGACCACAGCCAGGGGCTACAGCACTGACCCTGGAGGCCCATCTCCAGCCAATACTGCCTCCTATTCTGGGAGTGGAACAGTGGAGCTAGGCTGTCCCATGTGGATCTGAGTAGATGAGAGGGTGGGTGGTCAGCCTGTGTCCGTGCCCCTCTTGCCCACACCACCAGGTACACAGTTCTCTTCTCGCATGGCAATGCAGTGGACCTGGGCCAGATGTGCAGCTTCTATGTTGGCCTGGGTACACGCATCGGCTGCAACATCTTCTCCTATGACTACTCTGGCTATGGGATCAGCTCTGGCCGGCCCTCGGAGAAGAACCTCTATGCTGACATTGATGCTGCCTGGCAGGCCCTTCGTACCAGGTGAGGGCCCTGGCCCTTAGGGGCATGGGTGTGGGAGGAGCATCAATGCCAGTTGGGGTCAGAGGGAATAGGCCCCTGTGGCCCAGAAGACAGCTGTCCTTGGTCCTTGATGTCCACAGGAAAAGGGACTAGGAGATGGTCATTGAGGGACCTGGTAGCCCAAGGATTAGGGGATCCTAGGACTCTGCCATCAGTGTAACTTCTCTGGGCAGGTGGCAGCAGAGCTAGCTAGCTGGGCCAGTGGGTGTCCAAGTGATGGCAGTCAGTAGGTCTAGACCACCAGCCTGCACTCCAGACCTCTGTCACACCCTCTGTCATATCCTGATCACCCCAACCTCACCCCACCTCACAAGGGCTCCTTTGCTCCCTCATAGAGCAGGGCCCATGCAGTGGGGTATAGAAGAGGCCAACCATCTCTAGTTCTGGAGGACCCCCAACCTGGTCATTGAGGCCCCATGTGGTGCTGAGACGCTGACAGCCCAGGGGAGATGGGGACTCTGGTTACCCTGGAGATGTGCCAGGTATCACTGGGCTGGGTCCCCCGGCACGACTGGTGCTGGCACTGGGGACCTGTCTGAGTGCCCCTCCCCTGTGCCACAGATGCCTGTACCCTGTTGACACTGTCCAGCAGCCTGGAGAGTCACTGCAGTGTGTTCTGACCTCTATCCATTTGTCCCACCACAGTCCTGACCCCCAGAAACCTCTCAACACCATAGCTAAGCCTCAGGGGAGGTCGAGGAGACTTCTGAAGGGCCACCCTCCTATGGTGAGAGGAACTTAGGCCTGAGCTGTTGATAGTGCTCAGCAGGCAGAGCTTGTGGGTCTTGGTCAGCACATGGAAGGAGTGCAAATTGCCCCTGGTTCCTGCCTAGGATCAGGGGGAGGGTCCTGCAGAGGCTTGCCTGCTATAGACAGGTGGGAACTCTGGCAGGGGTAGCAGTCCAGCAGCCGCTAGGCCAGCTCAGCTAGGGTAAGTGGTCACAGTGATCTCTTAGTGTGGAGGGGCCGCAGGGGAAGCTGGGAATGGGCTGGCTCCCAGGACCTGTGCAGTGACACTGCCTGTGTTGTGCAAGCTTCTAATTGGGTAGGAGGGACTCAGGGGACCCTAAACTGGGCCAGGCCATCTGGGGACACAGTTTCCCAAACTTGTGGGGAGGCAGCATGGAAAGTGACAGCCCGCCTTCTCTCTGTGGTCAGGAGGGAACCAGAACTTGGATGTTAGGTCCAAAGCCTGCCTCACTCTGGCACTGTCAGAGGGACTAAGGGAAAAGCCAGGGAGCTGCGGCCTGGCAGGGCCCTGGGAGCTGCCCACCTCCGGGCCTGCTGACCCTGCTGCTGCTGTTGGTTAGGTACGGCATTAGCCCCGACAGCATCATTCTGTATGGCCAGAGCATCGGCACAGTGCCCACTGTGGACCTGGCATCGCGCTATGAGTGTGCTGCGGTGGTCCTGCACTCGCCTCTTACCTCGGGCATGCGGGTGGCCTTTCCTGACACCAAGAAGACCTATTGCTTCGATGCTTTCCCTAAGTGAGCATGGGGGTTGGGGCCTGGGGGTGTGCTGGGGGGTGGGGGGGTAGCAGGAGGCCCAGCCTGACATGTTATCCTTCAGTATCGAGAAGGTTTCGAAGATCACGTCACCAGTGCTCATCATCCACGGCACAGAGGATGAGGTGATCGACTTCTCACACGGGCTGGCACTGTATGAGCGCTGCCCAAAGGCTGTGGAGCCACTGTGGGTGGAGGGCGCCGGGCACAACGACATTGAGCTGTACAGTCAGTACCTGGAGCGCCTGCGTCGCTTCATCTCCCAGGAGCTGCCCAGCCAACGCACCTAGCCAAGCCACAGGGACCTCAGCAGTACATGGGTTCCCCTGCCGGGGCTGCATGTGACCCGGCGTCCAGGACCCTGCTCGGCATCCCACGGGCCACGAGCCATGTGCAGGCAACGTGGTAGCAGAGAGAAGGAAAGAGGGAAACTAATTAAAGGTTTAAGATTTCAGGGTTACCCTGGCTTCTTCATGGCTCCAGTGTGCCTTCCTGGGGCTGGGAGATTGCTAAGACCAAGTGGGTGCGGGGTTGTGAGAAAGACCTCAGGTCCTCCGGCCAGGTCTGCACCAGGATAGCAGCACCTTGCTCTACAAGGAGTCCCTATCACCGCTGTACACATGGCATGAACTCCCTCCCACTCCAGATGAGGACATAACAGGCCCATTGGACCCCAGAGCCAGGACCAGGCTATGTTCTTTGCCAGCCAGGAGCTGAGGAGATCTCCCTAGGACTGCAGGGCAAACATAGCTATTGGGAGTGTCCCCTGAAGCTGAGCCACATGTTGTCTCTTCTAGCCATAGGATGCCTAGGCTGAGGAAGAGCTTGAGTGCAGGGAGGTCAGTACCTTAAACTGACTCCTGAAGCTGCAAGGTCCCATTAAGAGTGGGTGGTACATTTGGGAGGCTGGAATATGTGGGGCGTGGCTGTAGCAGAAGTGACATAATATGTGGTTTTGACTCCAGAGGCTTCCATGTGGTAATGCTGAAGCTAGGGCCTAGCCTCCCAAGTCCATAAGAGCCTCACCAAATCACAGCATCACTGATGCTGTGCTCACTCCTCTGGGCCCAGGACCTTTGTACAGGTTGCATAGGGCACCCTCACTAGATCCCTGTCTGCAGGCTGTTTGATTCTCCTAGGACTACCTCCCTCTCCATCATCTGCTGAAAGGTTGTCCCCTAACCCCCTGTCCTGCTCCCCCCTCCCCAAATGCTGAGCTTTAGATCCCAGGCTGTCCCAGGACTGAGTCTCCTGTGACCCTGGTGCAGCAAGGAAGAAGAGCATCAGCATGCACATGGTTAGGAAGGACAAGCCTCATTCCCAGCCCCATCATCCTGGATGCTGAGACAGGATTGCCATAAATATTGAGGGTAACCTAGAGCACAGACACCCAAGCCCAGCTGTTGGCTGGCCACAAAGTCTGGTTTCCTGGGTGCTGGGGATGGAACCAGGTGCTCTCTGTGAGGGTGAGAGCATTCCACCAGCTGAGCTGGGGCCCCAGCTTTCCTTTTACTTTTTGAGTCAGCCTTCCTTGTTCTGTAGCTCATTGTGATCCTGAGGCATACCGGATGGGAAACTCCAGCCATTTTTTGTTTTTAATTTTTGAGATAGAGTCTGTCTTGACTAGCAGACTGAAACTCTGCCATGTAGCCCAGGCTGGCCTCCAACTTGAGGCAGTCCCACGACCTCAGGCTCCCCACTGCTTAAGTGACAGACCTGATGAGCCAGCATATAAGCCACAGCCAATTCAAACAAACAAAACCAGAGCCAGGCTGGGGCTTGTTTATACAAGCCTTTAACCCAAGCACTCGGGATGCAGAGGCAGGCAGATCTCTGGATTCAAGGCCTGGTCTACAAAGTTCCAGGACAGGTAGAGCTACACTGAGAAACCCTGTCTCAAACAAAAATCACATTTATTTGTGGGTGAGGCACATGTACCACAGCATATGCATAGGTCAGAGGTCAAATGTCAAGAATCTGTTCTCTAACCATGTGTATTTTGGAAACTGAATTCAGGGAACCAAACTTGGAGGCAAGTGTCTTTACTCATGAGCCATCTGGCTGGCTCTACAGCCAACTTTTTAAATGCTTCCGTCCACTGTGTTTTGTATTAGACATCTTTGTCATATTAGTCATTTAAAAGCTGGATAAATGTACATTTATTATAAAGATGTATATTTAAATGGTCTGTATTTCACAGCCTCTTTCTACCCACTTTCTTGCTTGCTAAAGTATTTCATACATCATGGAAATTATGGGGTGGGGGATGGAGGGGGGAAAGGACTGGATAGACGGCTCAGTGGTAAAGAGCCCTGTTGCTCTTTCAGAGGACCCAGCTCAGTTCCTGTCACTCCAGCTCCTGGGCATCTGATGTCTCTGGACCATGAGCAGGTCCTGCACAAAGGTGTACACACTCATACACAGGTGCACACATACACAAGGATTTAAGTGTGGGTGCTTGGCCTGTATGCAGATCTGTGTACCACCCGAGTGCCCATGTCCAGGGAAGCAAGAAGAGGGTCTCAGTTCCCCTGAAGTTACAGGTGGTTGTGAACCACTCCATATGAGTGCTGGGAATTAAACTTGGATCCTCTGCAAGAACAGCAAGTACTCTTAACCATGCCAGACACTCAGGCTCTCTATACCCTGCCTTTTCTTTTTTTTTTTTTTTCTTTTTCTTTTCCTGAGGTGGGTTCTTCTGGAACTTACAGAGATCCACCTGATTCTGTGCACCACCACTGCCTGGCTTGACTTCATGGTCATTTTATAGCTACTTTTTCCCCCCAGGGAGAGTGCAAACGCAGTTCCCCATTACTGCAAATTATGCAGTAAATCTGTACTTTTTTTTTTTTTTTTTGGTTTTGGCATTGGCATTTTGAGAGAGTCTTCTCTAATGAAGGCTAGCCTCAAACAAACTCACTGTGTTGCACAGGCTGGTCATCCATGATCCTCTGGCCTCCATTTCCCAAGCACCATAATGACAAATGTGTGCCATGAATCTAGCTGGTAATTTATTGTACCTTTGTGGTTTTGTTTTTTGAGACAGTTTTTCTGTAGCCCTGGCTGTCCTCGAACTCACTCTGTAGACCCTGGTCTCAAAACTCACAGAGGTCCACCTGGCCCAGTTTGCCTACATAGCTTATACGAGGATTCTATACCTCCACCCTTGTCTTATTGTATTCATTGCAAAGTCTCTTCTACACTGTTAACCCAAGTTGCAGGTATCTTGGGCATTCTTTTTTCTCATGAACATCAAATGGGCTCCTTTAATCCTACTAATCTTTGAAGGGCTGGGGGTTGTGGTCAAGAGTGCAGCCCCACCTAGTATCCCCCAGTGAAGGGCAGCAAAAGCAAACAAATGAATGCCAATTGCTCATACAGATAAAATTATGATGAAACTGTTATCTTAAATACAGGATGAAGTGATCTAACCTCCCTTTGGTTCTTTCTGCTGGCTACTATGGTAGCGAATGACTACTTGTGGCTTAGTCACAGGCACTGTGTTCACTCTGGTTCGGTTCACACTTTAAGTGTGAACCCTGTGCCTCTTGTCAGCAGCAACCACAGTTCTCCGTGGAGTGGGTGCCCCTGCATGTCTTCTCTGCCTGCTCATTTCCCACATGATGTAGAGCATGGCAGCCAGAGGGGAGCCCTAGGGATCTTGAACTGGACAATGACCCCAGCTCCTAGGTTGTCTGTCTGTGACTCCCTCTGTACTTCTGAGGGTCTTGTTTCCCCTAGGTTCCTTTTTACACACATCCCTTTCCCAGAGGCCATTATCAACTCCAGGAAGCCCCCCCCCCACCTTTGATATAACTTGTGGCCAGGATGCCCTCCCACCTGGGATCAGGGCCAACTTTAGCACTCCATTTTGTGAATTTCCCAGCCACAATTTCACAGCTTAGTTATAGTGGTCACAAGGCCATGAGGTCAGCTCATGTTCCCTAGATGACTTACCTTCAGCCAAGTGACCTAGGTCTAGATCAGAGCTGCCTGGGATGTACCCCTCAAACAGGGACATGGGCCTTCCCACCCCGCATCTCAGGTCATTCTGTTCTCTCCAGTCTTGAATGCTCAGTGTATAACAGCTGGACCCAGCTGAGGCTAAGAAAGGCCAATACCTGCCTTAGGGTTCAGATTTCTCCTGAACCCATCCTGTCTTTGGACCTGGTACAGGTCTCTGTGACAGTTTCCTCCCTTACCCAGGTATACAGTGGAGACAAGGACATGGTGGGCATGCTGCGCCTTTGGCTAAGGGTCGCACAGTGGATACTGATTGCATGGCTGACTTGCACAGATTCAATTTTTCTTTTCAAGACCGTTTCTCTGTGGCTTTGGAGGCTATCCTGGAACTAGCTCTTGTAGACCAAGCAGTCTCGAATTGCCTCCGCCTCCAGAGTGCTGGGATTAAAGCAGTACACCACCACTGCTCAGCTTTTTTGTTTGTTTGTTTCTTTCTCAGTACTGGGATTTTATTTTATTGGTTTTTTTTTTTTTTTTTTTTTTGAGACAGGGTTTCTTTGTGTAGCCCTGACTGTCTTAGACTTAGCCTAGGCTGGCCCTCAACTCACAGAGATTCACTTGCCTCTTTCAAGTGCTGGGATTAAAGGTGTACGTCATCACCTGGCGTCAGTGCTGGGATTTTTTTTTTTTTTTTTTTTTTTTTTTTTGGTATTTTGAGACAGGGTTTCTCTGTGGTTTTGGAGGATGTCCTGGAACTACCTCTTGTAGACCATGCTGGTCTTGAACTCACAGAGATCCACCTGCCTCTGCCTCCCCAGTGCTGGGATTAAAGGTGTGTGCCACCACTGCCAGCTAGTGCTGGGATTTTAAGCAGTCCTGACATTAAGCAGTCCCAACAGTCCTGGAACTCACTATATAGCCAAGAATAATCTTCTGATCCTCCTGCCTCCACCTTGGAAGTGCTAGGATTAAAGGTGTGCACTACATGCTCAGATAATTAAAAATCAACAACTGTCAACAAACAAACAAAAAAACATGGTCTGGTGTAGCATTGCCCAGCCTTCAGTTTGTGTTGGGTACTGTCATGGTTCAGGCCAATCTTAGCGTTACTGTCCCTAAGAAGCAGCCTGTCTGGCTCTGGAGCATTTGCTGTCAACTACCCTCAGCCACATGGCTTGGGAGCAACAGTTTAAGGGGCTGTAGTATCTGTCCTACCCGACCCAAGTCTTTGTAGCTCTCCCCAGGGCAGAGCTCAGAGTTTGAGGCCAGCCTGGTCTATAGTGGGTTCTAGGACAGCCAGGGCTACACAGAGAAACCCCATCTCAAATGAACGAACAAATAAACAAACCCTAAAATACATATAGCTAAATGTTGGTTAGTCAGGGTAGCTCATACCTGTCATTCACCTCAAATCCTGTCTGGAAATAAAACTCACCCATGGGACTAGCAAGTGCTGGTATCTGAGCCCCAGGGGTACTGTCACAGGAGAAAGGCAACTCTCACTCATCAGGCCTTGTGGGAGCAAGCTGGGTAGTTTCCCAGAATCCTCAGCATCAAAACTCTGCACAGAGTACCAGCCTTGACCGTATCATCTGTTAGGTAGGGCAACTGTTCCTTAGGTCCTTCATGGGTTAGCAGCAACTTCTGTGGTTCAACACAGTGTTAGCCTGGCATGCAGGTGGCTGGGGTGTGAAGATAATACGAAGGAGCTGTGCATGAACACCCAAATCTGGTTACAGATGTTTCCCTCTCAGAGGCTTAAGCCCAGAGGACACAGGTCTAAGGATATGGTTGGTACATGCTAAGTGGCACCACCTGGTGGCCGTGCCACCCTTCTTACCATTTTAGGGCTGTGAGGTGTGACCTCATGAGCCAAGGGCTTGCCCTCATTCATTCTGGCTGCAGTTCTCAACAAAGAATTGCCCATGGCTCCTCTCTTCTGGTGTGTGTGTGTGTGTGTGTGTGTGTGTGTGTGTAGGGTGGGTGCAGGGGTGCGGAGGGAGGGACGCCACCCCTGTGTGTGTGTGTGTGTGTGTATGTATGTATAGGGTGGGTGCAGGGGTGCGGAGGGAGGGACGCCACCCCTCACCTTTGAAGGCACAGAACCTGGGCCTGGACCCACATGGTTCTGGTTGTTGGAGTGCAAACCTGGGGATGAAGGGTGGATGTGTCCTCCTGGCCCACTTCTGTCCAGCCAGAGGGTTGCTGGGGCCCCCAGAGTATCCCACTTCTGCTGTTGAGGGACATGTGTTTCACCACCAAGTACGGTGGGTGGGGCCTAGGGAAACATGGTCAACCCGAGGGCAGAGAGGCAGAACCTGACCAAGTCAGCTGGAGATGCCTGTGGGGAAGGTAGAGATGACACCCGGGGAGGGGTCACTGCCACCATCTAGCCTCTGTCAGAGAACCAGAAAGCCTTGGCTGACAAACTGCTTTTGGCTGGCGCGCTTCGCCCCCTGGAGGCCGCACAGGCTACTGCACGGCCTCCGCAACCCGGTGGGAGTTAAGAAGGGGCGGGAGACTGGTCGCCTACTTCCGCGCACCGGCGCCTGGGGCCTGGGGCATTTAGGGGACCATCATTGAACAACTTGGACGGATCATCCATGGGAGTTTCCAATTGCTCCATTAATTAGCCTCAGTTTCCCTGCTCCAATCTCAAGGGTCCCAGCCGAGGAAGGAAAGGAACGTCCAGAACTCCGGTATCCCTAATTTCGAGTGGGTGACCGAGCCAGGCCTTTTCATTGCAGCCCCGATTTTTTTTTTTTTTTTTGCCATTCCGATTATCCACAGGCTTGGTGATTCCCGAACTCCGGTGCGCAATGATAACTCTACAGATTCGCACGGCCAGGCTGGGTGGAGGGAACCCTACATTCTTAAGGCCCACTACTGGTATATTTCGTTCCCAAGACAAGTACGACGACATTGACGACCCCAGAGATAGGGAATCAGGACTGTAGGATTATTGCCCTGCGCCAGGGCGAGGAAGGGGGGGAGGGTCGCGCACGTGGCCCGGGGGCGGGGACGCGCGCTTCCGCACCCCCACCCTGGCCACGTGCTGATCCTAGCCCTCCCTTACCCACCGCGGACAGGGGCGCGCCCCAGTGCTTGTGTGTGCGGGGGTGGGGGGGGGTGAGAGGGTGGGGGGAACAAGTTGGAGAGGGTAGGACTCCCAGCGTCTGCGCACCGGCATAGCACGGTGGGCGCGCCCGGGAGATGGAGCGCGCACCCGGAGGAGGCGTGGCGCGCACTGGGGTAGGAGGTGGGACATCCATGGCTGGGGGCGTGTCGCCGAGTGGGCGTAACTCTCAGCACGTTAGGAGGTGGCGATCGGGGAAGGGCACCGTTGGGGGTAGTGCGTGCCGGGCCGAGGGCAGGCTTTCCCTCCTTTTGTCTTGTTCTTCCCTGGAGAGGGCACAATCCTGGGTGCTGGGGGACGCAGGGTGGTTTGCGGGTACACGAGTGTAGAAGTAGGGAAGGACCAGCAGCTGGTGGAATGAGCTCCGCCCACCCGCGGTGGCGCGCGACTCTCTTGCAGCGGAGGGCGCGGCAGGAGGGGGCGTGACCGCGATGGGAGGGAGGGCGTGGTCACTGAGCCCCGAGGGGGCGTCCTCCGGGTGGGGCGGTCCATGGCCGCCCCCGCGGGCTCCGGTGCGTCAGGGCGCGTCAGGCGGGGCGGGGCGGGGCTGAGCGCGGGCGGCGGCGGCGCGCCGAGGCCTCCTCCTCCTTCCCCTACTCCCTCTCCTCCGCCTCCCGCACTCCAGCAGTCGCCGCCGGCCGGACGGTCGTAGCTCCCGCCGCCTCCGCTTCTCTCCTAACGCCGATCCCGCGCCCGCGCGTCCTTGCCCGGCATGTCGGCGGCCGTGGCGTGCGTGGATTACTTCGCTGCCGACGTCCTCATGGCCATATCCTCTGGAGCTGTAGTGCATCGCGGGCGACCCGGCCCCGAGGGCGCGGGCCCCACTGCCGCCCTGGATGTGCGCGCAACGCGCCGTGAGGCCACGCCGCCGGGGACCCCTGGGGCTCCGCCACCGCCAGCCACTGCTCCGGGGCCGGGAGGTTCCAGCGCTGCGCCCCACCTGCTGGCCGCCAGCATCCTGGCCGATCTGCGAGGCGGGCCCGGAGTCTCCACAGCAGGCAGCACCGCGGGGGGCACCTCTCCGGTCTCCTCTTCCTCGGCCGCTTCGTCACCGTCTTCGGGTCGCGCCCCCGGTGCTGCCAAGAGCCACCGCTGTCCCTTCCCAGGCTGCGCCAAAGCCTATTACAAATCTTCGCACCTTAAGTCACACCTGCGGACACACACAGGTAAGCCACTAGTTTTTAACCTCCGTGGGGTGTAGGGGCGCGTTGGAGATGTCTCGGGGGTCCCCTTCCCCCACCTTACTGGGAACCCCGAAACTGCGTGGCGCGTGGGGGGCGGGGAGGGGGGCGCGCCCGGGCCTCAGCCGCCCCGCCGTCCGGGAAGGCGGGGACATGGTGGGTGGGGCGCGCGCGGGGGGCGTGGCGGCCACGCGGTCGGGCGGCGCGCGGAGGGCGGCCCTGGTGGCCTAAGCGCTTGGGACTTCAGGCTGTTCGGGATCCACCCCGGCACGGCGGGTCCACCACGCGCTATCGTGTTCCCCCGGCTTCCCACCCCTTCAGCTCTGCTTCGTGTTCCTGTCCTGTTTCTGTGCGCTCATGGACTCTTGGCGCTTGGTGGTCAGAACATCCGGTTTCGTTGTTCTTCCTCTGCCCTATCCCCAGCCTCAGTTTCCTTATCTGTGAAGAGGGTGGGAGGATCCAGGTCACCGCCTCCGGCGTAGTCGCGCGGATTCCCTACGGAGGGCGGCGAAGTCTCTGGCGTAGTGCCAGGGATGGTGGTGGTGAGGGGGTGGTTGTCCCGCATATTTCTCTTTCCATTCTGTGTACTTAAACGTGTTGGAGGGAGACCACGACCTGAACTTGGAGGAAGGTGCTTGAACCTTCAATCCAATGGGATTGAAATCCGCACTTCCCCAACCCCCCGTGTTTGAGCACTCCACACATCTGTGTTGAATCTGCACAAAGTCCAAGGTGGGCAGCGAGACTTAGCCACACCAGGGTTCCTGGGAAGTCCAGTCCCTCGGGATTGGCTAGGGGAAACCTTTTGCTTCTTGTCCTGATTGCTCCAAGGGTTTATCCATTTTAGCCGGGAATGTGCATTGGGATTTGAAAATCCACCTCTTTAGCGGTGGTGTAATCAACAGCTTTGCAGCTTCCCTGAAATAGGACGACCTGCCTCTGTCACCCCCTTAACTTACCTGCTTTTGGTCTGCCATCTCCTGTCTATATAAAAGATACAGGCTGTCTCACTCTTGCTGTGGGCAACAGGGCACTCAAAGAGGGCTTCGTCCTGGTCACACTGGGAAAGCGTTTAGGACAGCCTCCATAGTTGTGTGGGTGGCCCCAGACATATTCAGGGCAGGTAAGTGGGTGGAGGTGCAGTCTTTGGAGACTTCTGAGCCAGAGGGTGGCATGGATGGTGCCATCTCTTGTCTCCCTCAGTTACTGTCTTAGGGCCTGAGGTCTAGGGGCTGCTCTGTGTTGGTGCCCAGATGGACAAAGCTTGGAGTAGGCAGCTCTGCATTCTCTGTTGTAACACATTTATCGCTATACAACATTTGAGGGGTCACAGAGATAGTATTGTCGATTTCTGTTATTTTTGTGACACTTGAGAAAGCTCTGCCACAAATTAGAGCCCAGGGTGTCCTGGCTCACAGTTTGCCAGTACTGTAACGGGAGCCTACTAAGCCAGGTTGCATTGTCCACCCATACCTTCCAACCCTGTATTCTACCAGTTCTCAGAACTTGACTTCTAAGGGTCTGTGAAAGAGGAATCCAGCATATTCCCCTCTCTCTGGGACATCAAGAGATAATTCTGTTGTCTTTCTGTCTGTGACTGCAAACCACCCCTAAACTGTGAGGGAGGGGTGACCTGGCATGCCAGAGAATCTGAGGCCCAAGGTGAAGTGAAGGTTCTAGGGTTGATTACAGGCAGTTCTTTTTAGTGGGGAGAGTGTGACACCCTTCAGTAAATCCTGTGTCACAATCTACCACCACCACCATGGGAGACTGGGTACCATGTCCCTATCTCCCCTCATAATAACCATTTGTGGGGCCAGGAGAGTCACATTGAGTCCAGGCACCTTAATGTTATTTTCAGGGTGTCTGCAGATCTCATAGACAAGTACTGTTATATAGTGAATTTAAATGATTTTTTTTTTCTTTAATAAAACCCTGTCTATCTCTGTTCAACTCTGCCTGCCCTGGAACTCTGTAGACCAGGCTGGCCTTGAACTTAGAGGGTCAGTGGGACTCATCTCTAGTGCAGGCCTGGGATAGATCTGGTACCCTGCAGAGCCATGCCTTGGGGCTGTGCATTGGGAGAGAGCGCTGTCTCTACCCACCACCCACTCATGCCCATCTATGGATCCATTTAGTTTTCTGAGGCGTAGATAGAGCAGGGTAAAGGGCCACCTTGCGGCCCTATTATGTCCATTCCATTGTACTTGGGAGTGTAGAGACCTAGGGGGTTACAGGACATCCCCATCCAAGGGCCTACAGGCAGGCAGTAGGCAGAGCTTAGCATCCCTGAGTGCTATCATTACCCCAGCCCCTGCTTGGGGTGGGGAAGTACTTTAGAGGCTGTGGGAGATGTTGACGCCGTTACCATGGATACTGGAAGAGAACCAGCCTTGAGGCGGGGGTGGGAGGAGAGGCTGGCTGCTGGTTCTGCTATCCAAGCCCCCTCCATCTCTGGCATTCTTTCTTCCTGGGCCTTTGGGGTGGAGTGGGATCTTTGATCTGGTCCTTGTAGATGGAACCCAGGGACCTGGGAGTAGCCTGACTGTTCATTCCACCCTTGTGGGACCAGGTTGTTCTCAATAAGGTGTCCTGGGTGCTGTAGGGTGTCCTCTACCCACTCCCATGCCATGGGCTCCCCTTAATTGGGGTAGCCACAATTAAGGTAGGGTAGTCCTAGTTGTACAGTATCAGTATCTCCTAGAGGGTCACCTCTAGTTATATTATCTGAAAATCTTGTTTACTTAGGTCTGAGAAATGTTAGGTTCTGGGCCTGGGTCATGAGGGTAGTGACTGCCAAGCCTGATGCATCTCAGAGTACTGCATGGAAGGAGAGCACTCATTGCTGCTGACCTACACACTCCTACATACACACAATAATGTAAAAAATTATACATGTGAAGAAATGGTAGTGTATGTAGTTACCAGGACTCCAGAGTCCCTGTTCCCACTAAATATGAAGTTGGAAGGTGGGGAAGGACAGATTTGCTTAGGCCTGTGTAGCAGGGCGGGGCTGGGAACTGTGGCTGCAGAAGGAACAGCAGGCTGGTCCTAGGGCTGGGATTTTGAGGGCTGGGGGGTGTGGGTGTCTCACAGGCAGGCTTAGGTTTATTGGGAAATCTCTTTATAGAGGAGGATTATGGTGGGAGAGATGAGGGGTGGGTAGGTGCAGAGAAGCCAGGCCACACCAAGCTTTTCTTTTTCCTTCCTTCCTTCCTTTCTTCCTTCCTTCCTTCTTTCTTAGACAGGGTTTCTCTGTGGCTTTGGAGGCTGTCCTGGAACTGGCTCTACAGACCAGGCTGGCCTCGAACTCACAGAGATCCGCCTGCCTCTGCCTCCCAAGCGGTGGGATTAAAGGTGTGTGCCACCACAGCTGGCTCACCCCAAGCTTTTTCTAAAGCTTTTTCTGAAGCTATTTCCAGGAGAAACAGGTGGAGAACTAAGGCCTGGGATGGGAAGGAGCCTGGTCACCTGTAGGCAGAGGGGCAAGATTTCTCAGTGAAATTTGCTCTGTAGAAAAGGGGGGAAGGTCAGGCCCTGTGGGGTTCAGGTGGCCTTTGAGGATTGATACCCTACTCAACTCCTCCTTCCAGGGCATAAGTGCTAGGGCTGGCTGCATTGCTGGGTTGATAACTACACCCCCACCCAGGCTTCTGATAAAGTGTCCCAGATGGGGTGGGAGTTGGCAAATGATACCAGCCAGAGGCCTGGCTGCCCTTTGGAGGGGTGGGTGGTGTCTGTCCTGGGGAGTTTCATGGGGTGCTGTCCTTACCTCAGTCTCCTGAGAGGTGGGACATAGCCAGACAGTCTGATTTTCTGGGGAGGAGAGGGGGTATAAAAGGCCTTGCTGCCTCTCTTTAACTGGAAAACTTTTTTTGTTTTTTTTTCCTCTTTTTTTTTTTTTCTTTCCTCCAGACAGGGTTTCTCTGTTCTGGAACTAGCTGTGTAGATCAGGTTGGCCTCGAACTCACAGAGATCCTCCTGCCTCTGCCTCCCGAGAGTGCTGGGATTAAAGGCATGTATCACCACTGCCTGGTTTAATGTTTTTGTTTGTTTGCTTTAAATTTACTGTGTGCTTGTGTGTATGGGTATGTGTGTGCCACAGTGCACATGTGGGTGTCAGAGGTCCTCTCCTACTGCATGGGCCCTAGGAATTAAACTCAGGTTAGGGTTAAGGTCTGCCTGGTGGCAAGAGGCATGGCATTAGCCCACTGCCCCTCGTTTCTGTAAATGGGCAGGTAATAGTTCTCTTGGGAGGTGTCAGATTCTTGAGCCCAGTGAGCCAGCCTTGCCAGTCCTGGTTCGTGCGCCTTCATCCAGGCCTGTAGGCTCTCCTACAGGTAAATTAGGCACCCACTGCATGCCAGACTCAGGCTGTGAAATTTTAGGAACCAAGCTGGGAGCTCGGCTCACAGCTGGGCATTTAGAGGGACAAACATAGTGGGAGACCGGCAGAGTCAGGGAGCCCTCCCCAGGAGTAACCACCAGCAGGGAAGGAAGGGGTAGCAGGGTGGAGGTCGGGCAAGCCCTATACAGTTCAGGCTGAGGTCAGACTCAGGCAGGGTGAGGCCTGCTCTCATGGAAACCACCTTCAGGCCCCCCTCTGCTGGCCATTCCTCTCCTGGAGCAAGTTTACAGGATGTCACAGACTCCATGTTTTAGAGGCTGCAAAGCACATAAGGCTCTGGAGTTGTCCCCAGCTCACCCCAGCCCCGCCTGAGTCAGAGGGTCAAGTCCACAGCCACGCCCACAGGGCCCTTCCTGCGTGATCCCCACCTACCTAATCCTCCTGCCTGCAATCAGGTAGCCTGGAGCTGTAGGGGACCTCCCCCAGGTTAACTCCATCTCCCAGCCTCCTAGGTAGATTGTGATACAGCCAGGCCAGGTATTTGGCAGGTGTGTGTGTGTGTGTGGGGGGTTGGGTTATTGGCTGAGTACCGCCACCGGTGTGGTGTGCACACGTGTGCTCCCCAACCCCCAAGCGTGGGGCGGGGACTGGTAGGCTCCCTGCTCAGAAAGGCAACCCTGGCCTGAGCTTCTGTCTCTCCCGTGGCAGGAGCTAGGACCATGTAAGCAAGGCTGGTTGGGGTTGCCAATGTCCCCGGCTTGCCACTGTCGAGCTACGAGCTACGTGCAGCAGCTGCGTCCCCAGCGGGCTGGCTCTGGCACCGCTCGCATCCATTGCAACCTGCTCCTGGCTAAGTGGAACTAGGGGGCAAGAGGCGGGAACCAGCCCAACCGGGAGGCCCTGAAAGGGGAAATAAGCTGATTACATGCTAAGGGGTGTCCCCTTTTCTTTCATCCCCTCCCCCATCTTCTCTGTCCGCAAAATGGCGACAGGATTACATGTCCCCCTTGGATGGACATAGACATAATTCTGTCACCTGGGGTCTGTTTCAAATCTAGGAATCTTACCTTATAACCAAGCACCTCTCCCCTTCAGATTGAACCCCTTGGGTGCTGGGATGGGAGAGGAATCCTGGGGCTGTTTTGGGGCACTTGGCCCCCTGACAGACATCATTGGGAATGAATATTTTGAATCATTTAGGGGACACTTTGGAAACGATGAGGGCTGCTGGCTGCCATCTAGAAACACTAATTCCTTCTCCCTTTACTGCCTGCCTAGGGTCGCAGCTTCCTGTGGTCTCAGGTTGCCTGGGTGTCATGCAAAATTGGCACATGGGCACCCCAGAAGTAGTTTCCTGGCCTCTACACCCCCATGGTGGAGGGCACTTGGGTGTGGTTTGCAGGGGGCCGGATGGAGAAGGTTTACTTCTGCTGCTTCCTGGGCGTTGTTGGCTGTGCCCCGCCTAGCCTGGGACCCACCCACGTCCCCTCCCTTTCTCAGTCTTTCTCTCCTGGGATCCCATGAGCTGCTTACAGCAAAGACAGCACCGGGTCTCCCGGCTTCAGCCTTGCCTAGTATCTGTTCCCCTTTCTGGTCGCCTCTACACTTCCTTCCCTCACTTACATGAATCCTGTCTGGAGGGCCCCTTGCCTATTTTCTGAGCTCCTGTTCCCCAGTGGATCAACCTGGAACCACACCAGCTGACTTCTCAGAGGTTAGGACTCCTGCCTCCTCCTGACTCTGAACAAGCAGAATTTTACAGGTTCACACTCTGTGCACACACTCCAACCCTTAGGCATCAGAATTCCAGGCTTTTGGGTACCCGAAGCACACGACCCTGTCTCTTCTCCAGAACTAGAGCCTAAGGCCAGCCAGACCAAGTCCAAGACAATGGGGTCTATTACTAGCAATTTCCCACCAGCCTGGTCCTGCAGCCTCGTCACTGGCTTCTTCTTGGTCATTGGATCCCCCCCCCCAAAGATGCTAATCACACATACGGAGAAGTCTGGTTGTCTGGTGGGTCCTAGGCTGGTTGGAGGCCACCAGGATGGTAGGAGTGGTCTGTGGAGGAAGTTGCCTAGTAGTGGCTTGCAAAGTAGGCAACTCCTGTGCCTGACTGGCTCTGCACCCCTGACCACGCCCCGGACACAAGTGGCCGAATTTAAGCTTAAGTTTGGGATTACATCGTGACCTTTCCTACCTCTGCTGGGCCTGATTCAAAACTTCAGGGTATAGGGGAGGGCCTGTCTGATATCCATGTGTCCAAGAACCTGGAAAATGCCTCCTTTCAGTGCCCCATGGTTATTTAGAAGAAAGGGACTGAGACATAGGAGGACCTTTTCTTAGGGTGTGCAGAAATGGACATGGTTAGCCTCAGACATGGTGGCCCACTCCTGTAGCCTCAACATTTGGGAGGTTGAGATAAGACTGCTTTTAGGTAGTTCTAGACTTTCTTGGACTCCTGCCATCACAGACCTGTGAGGACTGGCTGGGCATGCAGCTCAGTGGGCAGAGTGTTCTAGTATGCAGAGGCCATGGTTTCTGTCCTTGGCACTACATAAGCTAGATTCAGTGGTCCATGCCTTTCATTCTAGTGTAGGAGATGGAAGCAAGATAATCAGGCCATCTTCAGCTAAGTTGCTAGATACACTGTGTTAATTAGGGCAGCTCCTATAGGTGGGTGGCAGCCTTGGGATTTAAGGAAACCCCTCCCTGCCTTGCCTTTGCCCACTCATCACTCTTGTCTTTTGTTCAGGTGAACGGCCCTTTGCCTGTGACTGGCCTGGCTGTGACAAGAAATTTGCCCGTTCTGATGAGCTGGCCCGCCATCACCGGACGCATACAGGCGAGAAGCGGTTTCCCTGTCCCCTGTGTACCAAGCGCTTCACCCGCAGTGACCACCTGACCAAGCATGCCCGACGCCACCCTGGCTTCCGTCCGGAACTACTGCGACGACCTGGTGCCAGGAGCGCCTCACCCAGCGACTCCCTGCCTTGCAGCCTGGCTGGCAGTCCTGCACCGAGCCCTGTCCCTAGCCCAGCTCCTGCCGGCTTGTAGAGCCCTGGTCCCTTCACCCTGAGGGTGTCCTGCTTGCTAAGCCTCGGCAGGGATTTCCATTAAGAGACACATCTGCCCTCTGGAGAGCAGGTGTCCTGGAGTCCCAGCCTGCATCAAGGAGGCATCAGGGGGACTGAGAATGGACTTGGGTCTCTGGGGGGCCTGGGAGGTGGCCTCAGTTTCTGTCTGTAAATAGCCATGATTAACTGTCCCATCCCCTCTGCAGGGACACTCCCAAGTGGGTGTTGGCAGGTCCTCCATGTCCCCTTCTGCCACCTTCTGCCTTCCCTCCTGGGTGGCATTGGGCATGAAGCCTAGCCACAGTCCCACTCCTTAATCTTCAGCCCCCTAGTCACTCCTCCAGGTTGGGACACAGGTACACAGAGCCATAGGTGATTGGGGCTTCCTGTGGGCCCCGACCTGTCCCCACCCCACTGAAAGCCATTGGCGGAAGTTCAGGGAAATGGGGGGTGCAGCCTGGCTGACCCCCCAACATGGGTACTCAAATCTCAGGTGTTCACAGGCTCTGCCCTCAATAAGGGCCACCCCACAGCCCCGACCCTGGGAATACAGGAGACGCTGCAGTTTTCCAGAAGAGAACTGAGGGCTAGGGGGCACAGGCAGGGTGTGTGGAGGGCCCCTCACAGAGCATCACCACTCACTTTGGGGTGCGGTGTTGGGCAGGTGGGAAACATTATTTATTGTCCTCTCTGACTGTTGGTTGGCATGGGGGCCTGCTCCCCATGTGGGTGTGTATAAGTGAGAGACGGTGGGTCTCTGATGCCTTGGGCTCTGCCTCCCCACTCCCACTGGATTAGGGTCCCTGAGTTTGGCCTTTGGGGCATTGCGTCTCAGACAATCTTCTATAGGACCTGTGTGGCCATCAGCCTAGGGATGCAGGGTTCTGCCCTGCCTTCATGTCCTCCACACTCCTGGGTGTCTGTAGAGGTGGTCTTGGACTCTAGGACTAGAAGTAGGGGCTCAGCTCCTGGGCCTTCTGGGATGGCTTGGTTTTGTTTTTTGGTTTTTTTTTTTTTTTGGATGGAATAGACTATTTTTTCAGGCTCCAGTTCCTTGTTTCAGGGGGCCCCCTTGTGTGGCCGCTGTCCTCAGGGGTATGAGTGTTGGAGGGTAGGATGGGGAGCTCTCTCCCGAGTCTATCTTGGGGTCCTCTTGCTGTGACTTGGAGTACCCTCACTAGAAAGGCAACTAGGGATCCCCCTTAAGAATTTGGGGGCCCAGAGGAAGTTGAGCTGCCCCATATTTGCTGTAGGAGGTTTCTGGCATCCCCATTTGTTCCAGAATCTTCCATCATCCAATGAGGGAAGCTTTGGGTGCCACCACCTTTACCTGAGCCTACCTGGAGGGAGGCCTCCCTTTTGGAGCTGGGCTCAGAGGGTTCTAGGCCAGCAACCCTCCCAGGTACTTCCATCTGCCCCCTTCTCTTTGGCCACAGAAATGAGATGCCTTAGTCGGTGGGGTGAGGATTTAGGCCCCATTATTTTGTGTCTTCTGGATGTATCATGCTTCATCCAGGCTCCTGCTGGTCCCTTGCCCTTCCTGCAAGCAGGGGAAAGATCTGTGGTCTTAGGACTTTGGGAGGAAACTTCATAAGCAAGCAGAGCTTTCTTGGTATCCTTACCCTCACCCTAACTTCAGGTTCTGGTTGGTCACTGGAACTTGTGTCTAACCATTGAGGGATAGTGTCTGCAGCACAGGTAGGACAGGAGTTCTAAGGGATTTGTTCTTTTTTGGGGGGCCACCCCTCCTCCATTCCACCTGGCCTCTCACCCTTGTATTTAATTAAAGAAGCCTCACCCCTCCTTTTTTTTTAAACCTGCCCTGGTGTCTGTCTGATTAGTTCCCATGTCTCATCCCCCACTGGTATGGTCCCCAAAGTTCTCAACTACATCCTGGGAAAACCGAGGCATCTGCTGTTAATACTCAGGGGTCTGGCCTAGGACCCTCTGAAGCCCTGGAAGGGGGCTGTCTGCAGCAGCCTGTGCACAACACGAAGTCACCCACGCCTGGTGCAGCTGCACACCCGCCACCCTGTTACCCAGCAACCAGAGCTTGGTGACAGGGCTCCTTGGGGGCGTCTGCCACCCGCCCCCTTCCGGAGTCAGCAGTGGGGGGTGGGGACAGACCCCTAGAGCTGAACATAGTAGAGGAACTCAGTAAGTTCTTGCCCAAAAGGTGCCTCAGGACCTCGCCAACCACACTGCCCTTGCTAATATCGTCCCATTATGGACAAGTTAAATACATTGCATACTCTCTTTGAATTAGGAAGGGGTGGTTCAGGGAAATGTGTGCCAGTGGGGGTTCAAGAAGCCGATGAGAGCTTAAATTCCTGTTCAAGATCCCTGGGTCTGCAGAGCTCTGGGGTGGGGCAGGATGGAGCTGCTCCATTGCACCTGCTGTGTCAGGAGAGGTGCTGTGCCCCACCTAGTGGCCAAGGCTAATACTGTCCCAGGGGATCCACCTTCCAACCTGTAAGGGGGTACTTGCTCCTGCAGAGCTTGGGTGGAGCAAACCCACAGCTTAAATGCTATTAATCATTTCCTACTGAATACCACCACTCACAAGCAGCCATGAATCCTTTGGCTTCTCCAGTTCCCTCATGGCTTTCTGGCCTGCTCTGGGGTTCTGGATGCTTTAGCAGTGCACACTCCCGATGATTTTAAGCTTCCTCCCAGAACCAGAAAACTAAACAAAACCCACTATGGCTCCTTGAATCTCCTCCATCAACTCTTTAGATGCCTCCAACTCATCACCCCTCCCCTGCCATACTGAACCCTTGCCCTGTCACAGTGTTCACCCCATGTTTCTTGTACCACTCCGCAGTTTGAGTGGTGAGAGCCCTCAGCACCAACACTAGCACCACAAATACCTATCAAAACTCCTTGCCTCTTTTAAACTGTTTCAATGGTGCTGGGGATGGAATCCAGGGCTTTGTATATATTAGATAAGGGATCTCCCTCTCAGTCATGCCCCTAGCCCTTCACTGGGGATTCTAGGCCAGCACCAACTACACCCCAACCACAAGTGCTTTGTTTCACATATTCCAGAACATTTTTCCTTTTCCAGATGGGGTTTCTCTGTGTAGCTTTAGAGCCTGTCCTGGCACTCACTCTTAGACCAGGCTGGTCTCCATCTCCACAGAGATCCAGATGCCTCTGCCTCCCAAGTGCTGGGATGACCACCACAGGACCAAGAACATTCTTTTATGCCAAAATAAGCCCTTGCCCCATGAACTGTCATCTCTCCTCCACAGCCACCATGAATTAACCCTGCATTGCAAGTTCTGGATTTTCTGTGGAGCCCCACACTCCATAGACTAAAACTTTAGCTTCATGTTTTCCAAGTTCCTCTAGACCAGTGGTCCTCAGGCTGTGGGCCCTGCCCCCTAAAGCCGTATTTACATTACAATTCATAATAGCAAAATTAGCTAGGCATGGTGGCCTAGCTACTCCCAGTACTCAGAAGACAGAGACCACAATAAACAAAACAGCAAAATTACTATTAGAGAGTAGCAACAAAAATTATTTTATGGTTGGGGATCACCACAGCATGAGGACTTGTATTAAAGGGTGGTTAGCATGGGGTTGGAGCACTGGCTGCTCTTCCAGAGGTCCTGAGTTCAATTCCTGGCAACCACAAGGCAGCTCATGACCATCTGTAATGAAATCTGATGCCCTCTTCTGGCATGCAGGCATACATTCAGGCAGAGTACTCATACCTAAAAAGATAAATGAAAGAATTTAAAAATAGAATAAAGGGCGGTGGCATGTGTCACAGCCTTTCTTTTGTTCAGGACTGAACAAGACACTAGTATGTGGGTGGACTATGCTGTGTTCATCCATACATGTATGTGTGTTCAAAATTTGGCTCCTGTGATTAATGCTGATGAGAACACTAATATTTAAGTTCTTGGGTAGAAGTGTGTTTGTGTTTTTCTCTGGTCAGCAAATAAGGATCTACTGGCAGGGCTTCATGGTACATTCTCCATATAGAGCCCTTGCTGAGGCTCCACCCTGGAGTCAGGTGAAGCTCCACCTAGAATCCCCCAGTGAGGGATTGGGGGCATGGTTAGGGTGGAGCCCTGCCTAGAATCCCCCAGTGAGGGGTGGGGTGGGCATAACTGAGTGGTGAGTGCAAGCCTGGCCTGCACAATTCCCTGGATTCCAATCTCTTCCCTGAAAAACAAGAAAAGAAAAAACTCATTCTGGGGCTGCTGTGTTTTCTCCTCTGCCTGCTCTTTTCACAATCAAAATGTGACTAAAGTGGGCAAGGCATACACAGGGTTCCTAGCAGCTCTAGGGAGTTCATAGGTTCAAAACTACTTCAGTACTAAGAATGTTCAGACCAGCCGATATTGAAAAAAAAAAAGTTATGCATAATTACCCACAGGTCTGTCATCTTGTCCACTCAGGAGGCCAGGCAGGATGGCTGTGAGTTCAAGGCCAGGTGGAAGAAAAATGTCCTGGTCAGTCACTCAGTACTTACTGTAGTTGGACAACTGTGCCAAATGTGGAAATAATTCATTCTTCTGTAGTCACTGGTTCAATGAACAGATGGATGCAGTGGGTTGTCATACTAGGTACCTGGGGACACCAGGCCTTGGTCTTGATCTCTAGTCTGGTGGGGGTTGGAGATGGCAAGATGTCTGGGAAGGTGCTGAGGAGTAGAGTCCCAAGAGATAAATATTGTCAGACAGGGAGACACAGCTGAGAGCTTTACCTGCCAGGGACATTACGCTTCCCCATTTTTCTCCCGCCTTGGCTGAGACACAATCTCCCCAATGTCACAGGCTGTCTTTGTCTGGGGACTTTGTTAGAAAAGACCATACCTGGAACAGCTTTCTTGCTGACCCCAGCACCCTGCTGCCAAGCTTAATGTACTTCTATACAGTGACCTGACCATGGGGATCACCTCCAGCTCCTGCTCCTAAAGCATGTGGCATACAGACAACCTTTGGATCTGAAATCATTCCTGGTTCTCTGCCCTCTTATTGCTCCATTTACTTGTTTACAATTGTTGTATAAATACACTTAAATCTCATTCCCATCAATGGCCTGGCACACATTCACAGGGCCAGGGTGTGCTATGGTCCCCAGCCTCTTACCCTCCCACAGGGAAGTCTGCATCTGACACTAATGCTGATGCCAACCCCCAGGCCCTGGCGCCCACTATGCTACTTTCTGTCTTAGTGGCCATGATGACTGCTAGGAGTTGAATTCTGTGGTATATGTCTGAGTGTGCCTCATGTCATTTAAAAAAAAAAAAAATCTGGATGGTTGGTGGTGATGCATGCCTTTAATCCCAGTGCTGTATTTATTTATCTTTTTCTTTTCCTGAGACAGGGTTTCTCTACGTAGCCCTGGCTGTCCTTGAACTCACAGAGATCTGCCTGCCTCTGTCTCCTGAGTGCTGGGATTAAAGGCATGTGCCACAACCAGCCAGTTATTTATTTTTTTAAATACCAGTTCCCAGCCAGACATTGGTAGTGTACATATTTAGTCTGGGACAGGCTCCAAAGCTACACAGAGAAACCCTATCTCAAAAAACCAAACCAAAAACAAAAAACAATTTCTAGGTAACCCAGGCTGGCCTGGAATTCTCTAGGCAACTGAGAATGATCTTGAATGGATCCACAAGCCTCTACCTCCACTGTTCTGAGATTAGAGGTGTGTACCACCTGAATTCCCTTTTTAAGGCTGTGTAATATTCCACTGTGTGCATGGACCACTGCATGTGTGTCTGTCATGCATCAGTACTGATCTAGGTTACTTCTATCTGTGAGGTGTTTTAAATGATGGTATGTGTCATGAATGTTGAAATAGCCTTTCAAAATCACATGTGTGGGCTCCTGCCTGTAATCCCAGGACCCTCGAAGCTGAGGCAGTTGGATTTTATGGAATTTGAAATGAGCCTGGAGCACAGAAGGAAATAAATAAATAAAAATAAAAACCAAATTAATTGATTAAAAATGGCAGGCAGCCATGGTGGCTTAGGCTTGTAGTCTCAGCATTTAGGAAAATTGCCACAGGTTCAAGATCAGTCAGGTATTGTCCACGCATACACACACACACACACACACAAAACTAACAAAACTACGGAGTCTAGGGATGTAGATCAGTTGCTATAGTGCTTACCTCAGGTGGCCTTGGGTTTGATCACCAGAACAGTATGATGGGGCAAGTCCATGGATACTCTGTGCTACATGAGACCTTACCTTAATCAAAAGCAAAACAGAAAAAGGGCTGGAGAGATGGCTCGATATGTAACGCAGTTTGCTAAACCTGAGTTTTAATCCCCAGCTCCCGCTTAAAGCCGAGTGTTTCTCTGTGCAAGCAATCCTAGCCCTGTAGGCAGAGGGAAGCAGGCAGACACAGGAAGCTTGCTGGCCTGATAGCATAGCTGAAGTACTTTGGTCAGAAGCCTATCTTGCCTATCTCAAAAGAAAAGAAAAAACAAACAAACAAAAAGTGGAAACTATACTCTCCTCCAGTCTCTGCATATGGGTGCACAGTCCTGCATCCCTGGAGCAACCCCCACACAACAAAAATGAAACAAAACAAAAAAGCAATCAAAAAAGTTTTCAGAGTGTGGCTCAGTGGTAGAGCGCTAGTTTAGTGTATCCAGGCACTCGAAAAGTAAGAGAAGTCGCGTTGATACAACTTGCTGTTAGGTTGAGCGTCAAGAGAGACACGCATGGGTCTCTCAATACTAAGACCCTGCCCTGGCTAGAGAGTTGGGAGTTGGCTCTGTGGTGTTGCTGTTCTTTTTCCTTTTCTTTTCCAAAGATTTGTTTACTTATGTAACTGTAGTCTCCATGCCAGATGAGGGAACCAAATTTCATTATAGTTCATTGTCAGCCACCTCAGGACCTCTAAGAAAACCAAGCAATACTCTTAACCTCTGAGCCATCTCTCCAGGCCTCAAATCGGTTCTTTCTGAAGATTTGGGTTCTAGTCTCAGTACTCACATGTCGTTCACAACCATCTATAAGAGCAATTCCAGGAGGTCTGACACTGTCTTCTGCCTTCAGGTAGTATCAGGCACACTCATGTTTGCACATACACACATAAAAACACAAAGTAAATCCTGGAAAAACAAAATATGGTTGGTCCGTAACACTTTCCTTGTCCTCCGGGGACGCACCGAGGGATTATGTAGCGAAGTGTAAATAAACATGGTCCGGGCCCAATGAATATAGTCGGGACCGAGTGGCATTTTCAGTCAGGCGCGCTCTGGACAGCCCAGGATCCTCAGGGCATTGAGGCTCAAGGTAACGAGGCTGTATCCGCGGAAGACAAGTGCCGAAAGTTTTTTCTGAGACCAGGAATAGATAATTATGCTTTCAGTAGAGCTTCTCTTGTTGTAGATCTTGGATCCTGCGTTTGCCACAATTCTGCAGGAGCCGACATTGTAAGCAGGCGCATTTTGGGCAGCCCTTCCCGGCGTCCCTAGCGACAGCTTCCCGGGGGCCTCTGGGGGCCTCGGAGCAAGATGGCGGCGGCGATGGGGTCCGAGCGGCGCGAGCGGCGGCCTCCTGGGCGAGTGTGAGGAGGGGTCCCGGAGTCCCGGGTAGCTCCGGGCCGGGGCCCCGCTGAGGAACGGACCATGCTACGTTCTACCGGCTTCTTCCGCTCCATCGACTGCCCATACTGGGCGGGAGCTCCCGGGGGGCCTTGCCGGCGGCCGTACTGCCACTTCCGGCACCGCGGAGCTCGGGGCCCCGGCGCTCCCGGCAGCAGCGCGGCGTCTCCTGCAGCAGGTAAAGCCCGTACAACCGTGCCCGGTTCCACAGCTGAGCCAGCCCGTCCGTGCTACATGTTTCCCTTGCGCAACCTTGTCTCTCCCCTATCGCCATCGTGATGCTGTGCAAGTATCTAGGGCTCTCTGATCACTGAGTAAAACGTAAATCATGACAGGACGGAGGGAGATACAGTGCAGGCGCGTCGCCAAGCTAGGGCACTTAGTGCAATTGCTGCAACTTCCCCAGGTCCTCATTCCGTCCACATTGTTTGAAATGGGATGGCATTCCCCTCCTGTCATCGTGCACCCATTCTATGTGCTTGTGGCACATCTTGTTCATGATTGCCACACGTTCCTCAGGCGAGGCCGCCGCTGTCTCCAGTAGTTGGAAGCTGAAAATCCGCTTGGCTTAGACGGGTGTAGACTTTCAGTTTTGCGGGGAGCGTGTCGCAATGACTGGTGTGATGGCACTGTTGTTGTTGTTGTTACTGCTGCTGCTGTTGTTGTTTCGAGACAGAGTTTCTCTTTGTAACCGCTCTGGCTGTTCTGGAACTCGCTCTGTAGATCAGGCTGCTTTCGAACTCACAGAGATCCACCTGCCTCTACCTCCCCAGTGCTGGGATTAAAGGCGTGTGCCACCATCGTCTGCCTGTGTGATGGAACATTTGAAGAAGGCTTCATGGATCGGGCAGTGTGTAGGAGGTACTGTATTAGAAGGAAACATTGGGAGAAGCTAGGATTTTGTTAGTGTTTTGTTAGTGGCCAGTTTGGGACCCAGGATCCTCAATTCAACCTAACATTGCATTAAAGAAGACATTGTGGCGCTGGAGATATGGCTCAGATTTAAAAGCACTTACTGCTTTTGGCTTTAGGGTTAGTCCCAGTACTCAGGAGGCACAACCAGGTGGACCTGAGTTTGAGGCCAGCCTAGTCTACATGAGGACTTGTTTTAGAAAAGCCATAGATCCTGTCTGGGGGCGTGAGGGAATGGGGCAAACTTGCTACCATCACAGAGGCCCCAGATTGGGTCTCCAGCATCCACATGGCTGCTTTATAACTCCAGTTCCAGGGGACCTGGTGCAATTTTTTGGGCACCAGACAAGTATGGTGCAAATGCATACATGCAAACAAAACTCTCATATGCATGAAATTATTAAGAAAAGAAAAACTTAAAAGTTACACTGCAGCTGGGCAGTGGTGGGGCATGCCTTTAAGCCCAGCACTTGGGAGGCAGAGGCAGGTGAATCTCTGTGAGTTTGAAGGCAGCCAGGGCTACACAGAGAAACCCTGTCTCAAGGGGAAAAAAAAGAGTGGCATTGAATCCAGGCATGGTGACACACACCTTTAATTCTAGCACTTGGGAGATAGTGGCAGGTGAATTTCTTTGAGTTCAACGCCAGCCTGGGTTACATATGTGGCCTTCTCTAAACAGAAAGACCGAAAAAATTAGGAGGAAAAGGCTGGAGGGAGGGGGATATTGAATAGAGTACTGTTTAGACTTCTCTGGTGATCTCTGTTCCTTAGGAGTGCCTCTCCTTTTTTATATTTATGTATGTTTGAGGCAGATCTCATGTAACCAAGGATGACCTTAAATTTCTGGTCCTGCTGACATAGGTATGCATCATCTCTACAGTTTTGTTGTTGTAGCACTGGGGACAGTACAGGACTCACATATGAGAGGTGAGCCTCCTCATTGACTTCATCTCCAGTTCCCAGATTGATTTGAAATACCACTCTGTCTCAATTTGTTTTAACACTCCCCCCCCCCCCCAAAAAAAAAAGCTAGGTGGTAGCACACACCATTAATCCCAGCACTCTGGGAGGCAGAGGCAGGCAGATTTTTGAGTTGAAGGCCAGCCTGGTCTACACAGGGCTACATAGGGAAACCCTGTTTTGAAAAACCAAAAACAAACAACAACAAAACAAGTGTTTTGCCGGGCGTTGGTGGCGCACGCCTTTAATCCCAGCACTCTGGAGGCAGAGGCTGGCCTGGTCTACAGAGCTAGTTCCAGGACAGCCTCCAAAGCTACACAGAGAAACCCTGTCCCAAAAAAACAAAACAAAACAAAAAAACCCAAAACAACAAAAAAAAAAAAAAAAAGTGTTTTGCCTGTGTGTATGTGAGTATATGCACCAGATGTGTGCAGTGTCCAAGGCAATCAGAAGAGAACATTGGATCCCATGGCACAGGAGTTACGGGTGGTGGTGAGTCACTATATGGGGTACTAGGAATCAAACTTGTGTTCTCTGCAAGAATAGCTGGTATTCTTAAACATTGAGCTATCTCTCTAACCCTTGCTGGTTGGTTTTTATGAGATAGTTTGGCCTTGAATTTGTGGTGATCATGCTGCCTCTGCCTCCTGACTATTGGAATACCAGGCATGAGCTGCCAAATCTACCCATTGTTTTGAGTCTGCCTAGGCACCTACAAATGGCCTTCGTCCTTGTGGCCAGGCTCCTCGTATGGTCTCAGTGTCCTTGCTCTGTCAGTTGGGGACTCGGCTCTGCAGATCTCTCAGAAGCCGCAGTGCCCAGCTTAGGTGGCATGCAGTGTCTTTTTGCTGTTTTGTTTCCTAAAGCTTTATTTTTTATGTTTGTGTTTGTGTTTGTCTCTGTGTGTCTGTCACTTGTGTGGTTGTGTCTGAGGAGGCCAGAGGCAAGCATTGAATCCCCTAGAGTTGGACTTCCAGGCATGATGGGAGTGGAGTTTGGGTCCTCTGAAAGAGCAGTGCATGCTCTTAACTACTAAGTCACAAGGTCTCATTGTGTAGCCCTGGAACTGGCTATGTAGACCACACTGGCCTGGATTGCTTCTGCCTACCAAGTGCTGGGGTTAAAGATGCAAGTTCTGAACCTCCAGGGGCTATTTTGTCAGAGCTTGTGACCATCAAGCTTCTAGTCACATCCTTTGGTCTAGGGATATCCTGACTTTTTTGTTGTTTTGTTTTTCGAGACAGGATTTCTCTGTGTAGCGCTAGAGTCTGTCCTGGAACTCACTCTGTAGACCAGGCTGGCCTCAAACTCACAGAGATCCACCTGCCTGTGCCTCCCGAGTGCTGGGATCAAAGGTGTGCACCACCACTGCCTGGCCAGATATCCTTTTTTTTTTTTTTTTTTTTTTTTTTTTCTTTTTTTTAAGATTTATTCATTTATTCTGTATGCAGTGTTTTGTCTACATCATATGAGGGCACCAGATCTCATTACAGATAGTTGTGAGCCACCATGTGGTTGCTGGGAATTGAACTCAGAACCTCTGGTAGAGCAGCCAGTGCTCTTAACCTCTGAGCCATCTCTCCAGCCCCAGATATCCTGACTTTTAAAGTGTACTTCCTTTTTGCCATGTAGGGATGGAAGCCAGAGTTTCCTGCATGACCAGTGTGTGCTGAGCTGTGCCCAGCATGGTCCCATCCCTGAACAGAGTGTTGTGGCCCTCAGCTTTCCTTCCCTGCATCTCTCCTTGTTCTGTTTTATGCCACAGCCAGAGGGTCATGCTTGAGGTCTGACAGTCTCCTGGAGAGAGGCACTCTATTCCCTTGTACAGCCTGCTCTTTGGCTTCAGGGACAGGCATCCTTTGCTGTTCCTCAGTGACTTCAGGTAGAGCCCTTCCTGCTCTGTGGACTGATGTGCCCTTCTGTCCCCTCCTCAGTATACCACAGCAGGCCTCTGAGGAGGATACAGTCCAAATGGCTTAGCCTTGATGGCATCCTTTGGGCTCCCTGGAGTAGCCCTCCATGGCTTTTGTGCCCACAGTAAAGCAAACCCACATGTGGCCAGTCTCCAGTGGTTCAGTGCTGTGGGGACAACTGGCCCTGGAGCCACGCTGAGCTGGCCTTTTGCTCAGCCGGGGAGACATGGTTAGCTTCTATTGAGGTATGGTTGAGTGCTATGGGGGGAGACAGGCCGAGGGACAAAATGAGTTTGCTCCTGACACCAGTGAGGCAGGTTAGAGCTGGTGGGGGTACACTGGGTGGTGGCCACATGGGTGGCAGGGCTGGGCCTCAGGTTTCCCTTGGGCCTCCTGTTGGCTTGGTTGTTTGGGGGCTGTTTGGGTATGGCTGGTATCCATGGAGGAACTGGCACAGTGGCCCTCACAGAGCCCAGGGCCCCAGGGGTCTGCACTCTTGCACAGCTACTCTCTCGGCCAAGGGAGATAGGGTGAGAGTAGTAGACATGAGAAATCAGGGTGTCTGGGCTAATGTGTTACCCCCACTGCGGCTGCCGCCATGTCTTGAGGGTCCTGAAACCTCCCTTTGAGATTCCCCAGCAGTGTGGTAGGGTGGCATCCAGGGTTGAAGTGTCTGTGGCTCTACACATACCAGATTGTCCTGTGGACAGTTTGGGTGCCAAGGGGCAAGTCCAGGGAGGTAGCTGTGGAGCCTTCTAGAAAGAATAGGGTTTTTTCAAGTAAATGAGAAGGAGGGTGGGTGTTCTTGGCGGGGGGGGGAGGCAGAGAAAGACAG